ACCGCCCGCTACCCCCTCAGTATACCGCCCGCTACCCCCACCCTTAGTATACCGCCCGCTACCCCCCCTCAGTATACCGCCCACTAGAGCTTCTTAGGGATTGCACTATTGTGGGGATGTGGGCATGGGAACCCAAGTTTCATGTGGTTTTGTTAACCCGGTACCAAGGTGACTGGTTGCTAATTAAATTATCTATTCAGGTACAGACACCAAAGTGCCGGGTATGTTGCAATTCTATTGTTCTTCCTGTTGAAACCCCAGTTATTAAAAGTGTGACAATAAACCAGTTCTTCACAAAGTCTCGGCTAGTGTTTGGGTGAGCCAGCGATACGACAGTGGCAAGGAGCTTTAATCACTCTGGGCTATAGTAACAAGGGAAATGGGACTTGGTAGTGACAACCCAGCTACTCGTGGGCATACTGCCACAAGCTCATTTAAGTGGTCTGGGTGCAGTGCCCCTGTCCCCTTCACCCTGCAATTGTAATTATTGCAGTTGAGAAACTGCTATAATTACATTGCAGGGTTAACTCTACCAAACAGCTACTAGAGTCGCTTCTGTGTCAGCTAAATGACATTGGGCGTCTTCACAATTTGCATCATCAAAAACCTGGTAGGAAAGCATTCATTCAATGCTTTCCTATGGGGTAGTCCTAAGGCGATAGCGGCGCTTGCCGCACATGCGCATTAGGTCCCCCTGCCTGCTTAACGGCATGATCCAGCGCTTAGGGACATCGACGCTGGAATCAGGTAAGTGACAAAGGGGTTTTTAACCCTTTCAACTCTGCTGGGGGTGAGGGGGGCGCAAGGGAGGGGAGCACCATAGTTTACTATAGTGCTAAGAATACAACTTTGTATTCCTAGCACTATAGTTCCGCTTTAAAACGGACCTATCACTTTCCAGCCTCCAGTGAAATTCCAATGCAGGCTTGATCAGTATTTAATAGAATTTCAAAGAATATATCTTTATGAAATACTGAAGAGTGATATATCCGCCTTAACCTGGAAGTGTCCCTTTGAACAAAATACAAGTGGATAAAACCATTGTTAAATCTGCCCTTCTAAATACCACAATTATGCAATTAAAGGATAACCAAGTTATAGATAAGAACAGTTGCAGCAATATCAATCCTCTTTCTAAATACCAGTTAAACCTACATTTACATACTCTGTCACATGAAAGTTAGTGGGTTTTTGTCCAATATTAAGTTTTAAAGATGGCATCTCACAATAACTCAAGTATGAAAACTAGGGAAGCCCCAACATCAGACGCAAATCTTTCAAGGATTACCTCTCTCGGAACTATTAATCTTTAAAGTGGTAATTGTAAGTCAATTTAACTTAAAAAAACTATATTTGTTAATCTATATGTTTGCAAGCATTATAGCAGGAAATTATATAAATAAATTGTATGGTAGGCATATTTTATTCTTGTTCTAGTTAATTTGCAAACGTTAAAGGAACACTATAGGGTCAGGAACACAAACATGTATTCCTTATCCCATAGTGTTTAACCCACCATTTAGGTGGCTTGCCCCCCTTAAAAGCAATTAAAAGTCACCTTAAATCCAGCGCCGCGCGGGTCCGCCACCGCTAGCTCTGCCCCCTTGGTGACATCAGAATTGCTCATTTTTAGCCAATCCAATGCAGCATTGGATTGGCGGAAATCGGCAAGGGGGCGGGCCAAACGTCGTTTTGGCCAATCAGCACCTCCTCATAGAGAGGCATTGAATCAATGCCTCTCTATGAGGAAAATTCAGCGTCCCCGTGCAGAGCGTATAGACGCTGAATGGCAGCACTGAGCCAGGAGTGGCCACTTGGAGGTGTCACTGGGGGCAATGTAAACACTGCCCTTTCTGTGAAAAAAAAGAAGGGTCCTAACTTAGCAGGCTGTTGTGAATGCCGGACCGACGTTCTAGTCTACAAGTAAGTGCTCCCTAGCGCCCGGTAACACCAGGAGCTAGGGAGCACTTACTTGTATAAAATCAATCCCACTTGATAGGGGGCGGAAAAAATAGTCGGCCGCCGTGTGCAGTAAAGAAGACAGGAATGAAGAGTAAAGTGCAATGAGGGTAAGAGAGAATGCACAGTGTGTTTCATAGAATGTGTGTCAATATGTTTGTGTATGTCAGTCTGTCAGTGTGTGTGTGTGTATCGGTCAGCATGTGTCTGCATGGGTCAGTGTTTGTGTGTATGGGTCTCTATGTGGATAGGTCAGCGTGTGTCTGCTTGGATCAGTGTGTGTGTGGAGTTTGGTCAATGTGAGCATTTGTGTGTGGTTCAGTCTATGTCTGTGTGGGTCAGCGTGTGTGTGTAAGGGTCAGTGTCTGCATGAGTGGGTGGAACGAATGGGGTGGCAAACCATTTTTTCGCTTGGGCGGCAAAAATCCTTGCACCGGCCCTGCTTCCACCAGGGTGCTCCGAACACAGAGGGCAAGTGTCCTAAAAAAATCCACTCAAAATGCGCAAAATGTCCAGACACACCCGATGGTTTCTTCAGGAAGCAGTCTTTATTTTGGAAGGGAAAAAAAAAACAACTTTTCGGCTCCTACATAAGCTTTTGTCGAGCTATAGTATTCCTTTCATGTTGAAAGTACAAAGTAAAACATGAGGTAGCATTTGCATGGCTTCAATAAAACTGCAAAATTTAAAAAAAATGTTAAATAAAGTAACTTCAGGCTAAGCAGATATGTCTAGAGAGGGTGTTATATAGAGATCGACCGATATTGATATTTTGGAGCCGATACCGATAATCTGTGAACTTTCAGACCGATAGCCGATAACTTACCAATATTCTGTACACTATTTTTACACAAATCTACTGTTAACTGAACAGTTTTTTGCATTTTTTTTTTTTTTTTTAATCTGGTAAATGCACAAAATATACATGTCAGTCAGAATATTTTATGTTTTCAAAAATATATGTGTGTGTAGTGGATGCAGTGTGAGTATTTGAATAGTGAATGCAGTGTGTGTTTGTGTAGTGAATGCACTGTGTGTGTTTGTGTAGTGTGTGTATAGTGAATGCAGTGTGTCTTTGTTTAGTGTTTATATAATGAATGCAGAGTGTGTGTACAGTGAATGCAGTGTGTTTGTGTAGTGTGTATATAATGAATGCAGAGTGTGTGTTTGTGTAGTGTGACTAGATTGTGCTGTATAACCGCAAGTATTCATTTGGTCTGACTGTAATTTTTAGCCGGCATGTAGTGGAAGCACTTGGAATTATTATTCTAGCCCTTGCCTGCTGAGCAGAACAATTGTGATTCAACAATAATCACTTCCTATGCAGTAATCTATCCCTAGTGGCGCTCTTCTTTGATAAGTAGGCTATATATCAGTAACAAATATTCTTGGCACACCACATATTTTTGAACTGCATTTTCCATGATGCCCAGTTACTATGAAAACTGGGCCCAGGCAAAGTGCGTACAGGCTTGCTGACAGTCACATACACTGCAGCAGCTGGGAGAAGGGAAGCTGGGGCTGTCTGGTTAACAGAGTTTTCAAGCTCAGAGTCACTGCCAGTGAGAATGAGGCGTGCAGTGGTCCTTTAGTACAGGTTAAAGGGATACGATAGTCACCAACACAACGTTAGCTTATTGAAACAGTTTTAGTGTATAGATCATGTCCCTGCAGTCTCACTGCTCAATTCTGTGCCATTTAGGATTTATATCACTTTTGTTTCTGTTTATGTAGCCTTAGCCAAACCTCCCCTGGTTGTGATTCAACACAGCCTGCATGAAAGGATTCTAATCAGATGTTAACTTACTTTAGATGTTTATATTTCCTGCTCTGTAAATTGTACTTTAAATCACACACAGCAGACTCTTGCAGGATAGGGACATGGAGTAGATAGGGGCTGGGTGTGAAAGAAATACACAGCGGGGCCTTAAAAGGAGGAAAGAACACTATGAGACAGGAGAGGGAGGAAAGAACACTATGGGACAGGGGAGGGGGGGAGAAAAGAACACTATGGGACAGGCGAGGTGGGGAGAACACTATGGGACAGGGGAGGAGGGGAGAAAAGAACACTATGGGACATGGGAGGGAGAACACTATGGGACAGGGGGGGAAAAGAACACTGGGACAGAGAGGGGGGAAGAAACACTGGGACAGGGGAGGGGAGAAAAGAACACTATGGGACAGGGGGGAGAACACTATTGGACAGGGGAGGGGGGGAACACTATGGGACTGTGGAGGAGGTAGGAAAGAACACTAAAAAAAGAGGAAGGGGAGAGGAACACTAGAGGGGGGAGAGAGGAACATTAAGGGGGGGACCGATAAAAGAGAAGTGAAGCTTTTCATATTAGATTAATTAAATTAATTAAAAAGTCTAATATTAATAAAATTATAGGAAAAAACTTTTTTTTTAAATCATTTGGGGGAAAAGTCATTTTCGGTTTTTGGCCAAGGACATCCTTAATTTTCGGTTTCGGACCAGAATTTTAATTTCGGTGCATCCCAACTGCAGGGTCTAAAAGGCTATTAACAGAGCAGGAAATAATACATTCTAAGTTAAACATATATTGCAATAAAGGAGGTTTAAACATTAGATGGATGTTTACAGGAAGTGTTTAGGAAGGCTGTGTTAGTCACATGCAGGGAGGTGTGACTAGGGCTGCATAAACAAAGTGATTTAATTCCTCAATGGCAGAGAATTGAGAAGTGAGACTGCAGGGGTATTATCCATACACCAAAACTATTTCAATAAGCTAAATTAGTTTAGGTGACTACAGGTAGTTCTCACTTTGCGACTCACCTATAAAACAACGTCTCGGACTTACAACTAGCTCTAAAGAGTGTGGATTCAAGGGATTCCCCACATTAGAGAGCTGGTCTATGTTTTGGGAATTTTTTCCAAACATAGATTCAAGGGATTCAATGCTCTGGTGAGAACTGAGCAGTGAGAAAGCAGGGGCATGATCTATACACCAAAACTGCTTCATTAACCTAAAGTTGTTTTGGTCACTATAGTGTCACCCTGCTAGTACTACACCATGATCTGTATGGAAGCTATGTCCATCAGTGCTAGAAGAAGCACGGGATACATAGTGACTGTGCTCACAAAACATAGGCCAAACCGTAACGTAAGCTTGAAAAGTAAATAGAAAAGATGGAGTCAGAGATACCAGAAGACAGGATAAGCATTACACAAGCCACGGTATTTCCACAAATAATTATGAACCAAGGAACGTGCTGTCCACCAACATAATTTACAACAGGACACCATACTGTTGGAAAGGTTGGTATATTAAGGCAAAAATAAATGGCATCACTGGCTTGTGCAGAAACATGATGAAGCATTAGAATGTATAGTCACGATACAGTGGACATTTTGCTGATTCCACATTGGAACACATTTACACCACTTTACTTCGCACTATAAATGGCAGCTCCTTTACTCCGTTCCCTCTTGTGGTTTTTGATGCGCTAATAGTGCTTCTTCTGATTATTGTGATATTCGTATACTGACCCAGTCTGTTTTACGTTTATTGCACCTATAAAAGGCATTCGAAAGCATCACGGGAGTTGTGGTTGTATTGGAATCTACCTTTTGTGCTCCCCAGATCTAGGTGATGGAGAGTGACACATTTTTTTGTTACACGCCCAATGCAACATTACATCATAACCAGTACACTAGGCTAGAGTAGACCTTTGGTACTGGATCTGTAAAAAAAATCTGACGATTTAAAGCAGGGTGCCCAAAACGTAGATCCCAAGATGTTTTAAAACTACAACTTCCAATCTAAAGGCACGCAAAGCGTCATGGGCATCCCCACAACTTTTGGGCACCCCTGATTTAAAAGACCACTCCAGCACAATTACAACTTTAGCTCAATGAAGTTACTATGGTGCCCAAAGGTCCAGGGCACCATCTTACCTTATGGGGTTATACAGTTTACGAATGGTCCACTCTGCCCGGTTCCATCTACCGCTGGTCAGAAGTCAGTAAGATGGTGACCTCCTGCCACTTTAACAACTTGAGATCAAATGTTCATTTATTTTACAAAAAATTTAATGTTTTGGTTCTTTTTTTCCATTCTGTCAGAAAGAAACTTATCAAGGCAGACATGTTTTCAGTTGAGCTATTTTACTTTAAATTTTCTTTAAATTCTGACATTTCACACTTTAGTGTTTACTAGAGTGGATTCAGTAAACAGTGGTGAACTAATACATGAATTGCAAAATTCAGCCTAGAATTGCCAAGATGTGGCTATAATCAAGAATGAGATTTTCTTCCCAAATCAGCCATTCTATGCAATTAAAATTCACCATCATTGTTTATTGAATTCACATTATTAAATTATAAAACACTGAAGCAGGCGTCCTATTACTGTATTACTATGTACTTTTTTTTTTTTTAGCCCTTCTGAATTCATTTTTTTTTTTATTTAATTTTTTTTTTATATTTTTTTAGACCGCCATGTTGGTACACCTTTTGTCGCCATTTTGGTACTCCCCGGCTTTCCGGTGCCACAATGAAACGGGTCCCTCGGGAGGTGAGACACGCGCAGGGAGTTCCGGGGGCCGGCCACTTACAGACACCATGGCGGACGGGAGCTGCCCGACTTCCAGCCACCCGCTGAGGACCCCGACCGTGCTGCTCCTGGCACTGCTTGCCGTCACGGCTCCTTGCACGCAGGCCCGGGAGCTCCGCTTTGTTACCTTGGTGAGTGAGTCCCCCCTGTGACGGTGACGTATGGTACCCTCTGCCATCATTAGTAATGGAGTGGGATCCCGGAAGTGAGTGCAAAGTAGGGGTGTGAGGGTGTGCATAAAAAGGGAGACCCACCTGGTGAATAGGGGAGCATCATTCAGCCCATGCAAACAATAGGCTTTAATAAGCTGGGAGCTGCTGGCACTGATTTGTTTTCCTTTATGGGAATATCTTAGTGAATATGAAATACAAGGACCACTGTCAAAGTGTGTGTGTGTGTGTGTGTGTATATATATATATATATATATATATAATTATTTTTTTTTTAGTAATGTAATTATTATTATTATTTATATAGTGCCATCAGATTCCATAGCGCTGTACAATGGGTGGACTAACGGACATTTAATTGTAACCAGACAACTGGACGTACAGGAACAGAGGGGTGGAGGGCCTTGCTCCATGAGCTTACATTCTAGAGGGTAAAAGTAGGGGTACGAAGTAAGTTGTTAGAAAGGTATTTGCTGAGGGGTTAGTAGGTAATTTTTGACAGTTGCAGTAGAGTAATGAGCTACCACATGCTATATTACTTAGGGTTTCCACCTGGCTGGTATTTTAAGGTAAAAATCAGAGACGTTTAGTGAATCTTCCTACTTGGAAAACAATCTTTCTGTGTTTGTGGAGTTGAATATAATAGTATCTCGTTGGAAAGAAAAGAGCTGATGGAGCCTACGTTGCATAACATCCTAAACGGGGTTAACCCAGGTGTAATTGTACAGACAAGACGAGAAGAGATGGAGGGTGCAACAGGGAACAGAAAGGAACTGGACAAAGCCAGATAAAAAAATCCCAATATAATGTCCATTGTGGGACTTTTTTTTAACTTATTGATTAAATGTTAAGTTTAATACCAATATTATATTAGGATTTTTTATCGGGATTTATCCAGTTCCTTTCGGTTCCCTGTTGCACCCTCCATCTCTTCTCTTTTTGTCTGAATATAGTGGTAAACTCTCATGAATTGTATGTAACTCCAGCTAACCGATGATCTTCCAAGTGGACAGATTTATTAAACCTCCATCACAGCTCTGATTTTTCACCTTGTGACAGTGTTTACTAAGGTAAATGTGTATCTTAACACCTTAAGAACGGAGGTAATACTACACGTTCTGAATCAAAACAAAATCTGACATTTGCGCTATATGTCAGTTCAACCATAATTTACCTCTTTCATATTAAGAGCATTCACACTTATTCTATATCATTTTGTTCAGGAGAAATAGGGCTTTCATTTCACATCAAATATTTGTACATGAAAAATAATTTAATCTAAAAAAATAAAAGGTGTGAGAAATTAAGTTAGTTATTAAATGTAATTTTTCTGCATGGCATTCTAGCTGTGTGTCATAATACTGTTCGCTTTTACTGCAATAAAATACAAATATTCATATGCTATAATGCCCTCCTTGTACCTGTTTCATGGTATTTTGGAAATTTACGGGGTCACATATAAGGCTGTCCATTACAGTTTTTACACAATGCCATTTGCCAGATTAGTTTGCTTGGGCCTGTGTTGCCTTTGAGACCGTATGGCAGCCTAGGAATGAGAATTACCGACATCATGGCAAACCATGTGCAAAAGTAGACAACCCAAGGTATTCAAAATGGGGTATGTCTAGTCTTTTTTTAGTAGCCACTTAGTCACAAACCCTGGCCAAAGTTAGTGTTCATATTTGTTTTGTTTTGGGTTTTTTGCATTTTTCACACAAACTGCACTTTCACTGACTATATTATTGTCACTATACATTTTGCTGCTCTAAAACATTCATACTTGTGTCTCAATTGCTGCCAGAGAAAGTGCCAGAGTACGCCCTAACGGCGTTAAAGCCCTCCTTTTGTAAGACAAAATAGCCCGCCATAACATCACAAAGGGTTTAAAAAAAACAGTATCCTGCTATTAGCAGTTTATAAGTAGAAGAGAATGCATGCCTCCTAAGTGTCCATATTTTTAGCCCAAATTGCACTCTCGCTCTCTTTTCTGTCCTAAGGTCCCTCTTTTCTAGGAGCTCCATATTATTGGTGTGCCTGAGTGTATAACAGAGCTTCATAGCAATAAAATTCCCAGTAATGTGTTTTTACAGTTTATACTACAATAAATGTGTTTAGAAATCGTGTAAATACGAAACATTGTTCTTTTTCACATTTTAGTTACATACATTGTTAAAGGGTTACTATAACCCTTTTGAGCGTTGACGTTCTGGAGTACTATCCCCTAATGGGCACTATGGGGTAGGTCTCTGTTCTCAATTTTTAGTAACAAAAAACAAACATTATTCCTGCTCTTATGAGATTAACCCACTTCCTCCTGGGACTCTCTGTGGTGCAAGGAATAGGGCCCTGGAATGAGGCACCTGTGACAGGGAGGGGTGCACAGCCATGGGATCCCAAATGTATATAAACATATGAATGTGTTGTATTAATTGGCCCCAGTAGCTGCCTTATAATTGCATGTTTAGGCGAGAGCAGCCTTCTTGGTTTCATATATCCATAAATGCAGACACAACAGCATTTTATTGCCACCATATATGGGATTATGTTAAAAAGTCATTGTCTGCATTTTATTACCACTAAAGCTTGGACTATTGCTACAGCAGCAGACGCTACTTCCTAAAATGACATTGCTTCAAATCCCAACATGTGGCAATTCTAACTTTAACTACGTTTTTAAATAGGCCAAGCTATCGTAATATATAGTTACAGTTGTTAAACTGGTTCTGTTTCTGGCAACGATTACTATATACATATTTACAGATGGCATTTGTAATTATGTGAATCTTAAGGAGACATGTCTTTAATTTGACTTGGCTTTAGAGATAATATGACTCTGTTACTATGCCGGATGGAAGCAGTGATCGTGGCCGGCTTTGGCACTGCAAATGTTTGGGAACTAAATTTCCCATCATGCTTAGTGAATGACAGAGCCTTGTGACAGGTGTAGTTTACCATCATCTACAGCAATTTCAGAATTAGCCTTTTCAGTTTTAAGAGTAACCATCCAGCTATTTATTGCAGAAGTCCCATTTTCTCAAGACGTGTAACTGTGACACGCATTTAGGGTATGTGACAACAAGTTCTCTGACTGCAGGGTAAGATCTTACATTCTGATGGTTAGAAAACAGACTACACACATAGTTCATGCAGGAATAAAAACACACGGTTTTTAAGGAACGTTTTTAGAATTATATACAAATATTAAAAAAAAAGTACTTATTAAAAGATAGTAGACCTAGGGAGCAGTATCACGTTTATTTTGAATGTGTAATATGAACTCTGACAAATAAATGTCAGTTTATAAGCCTTTATTTTACTGCTCACATTAGCTGAGCACAAGGAGTTTGTGGCAACATTGCAGTAAGTTGCTTCTTCATGTAACTGAATAGGGCTGCAACAGGTTGTGAGATCTTCCAACAGAAATCTGCTGCTATGTGCAAGATCTAGTGTACCTGCTGATAAAAATTATCTTTCCATATTTCCAGTAACTACAACACAGTGCTAAACCATAAAATGTGTTTTTACTTACTTCTACTGCATTCATCGGCCCACAAATCAATGTTGTAAATCGACAATAGTATAAAAATATAAATAAGAAAATGAGCAATGTTCTTGAAACACAAGTAAGCTCCAACTAATGATATTTCTTAAAATATCAGACTGCTTGCGTCAATACTTTTTTATCATTTCAGCAGAGTTAGAAATGCTGGGGTTTTTTTTGTCCTGAATTTCCCCCAGCACAGCAATTCTCTGCTTGGTGAATAGACCACTATTTTTAATGTTGAACTAGTCACCAGGAAGGAATCTTTAGGAGTTGAGGTATATCAGTATGGTCCTCTTTACGCGGTTCATTCATTCCTTACTCTGTCTGTTATAGGTCTATCGTCACGGTGACCGATCTCCAGTGAAAGCTTATCCCAAAGATGTGCATCAGGAGAGTGCCTGGCCGCAAGGCTTTGGGCAGCTCACACAGGTAAAACTGCTTCTATCACTCAACATCACTCAGCAGCCTTCTTTCATGCTCTAGATCTGGGGCAGGCAACCTTCGGCACTACAGATGTGGACTACATGTCCCTTGATGCTTTGCCAGAATTATGTCTGTAAGAGCATTGTGCCACAACATCTGTTCTGGAGTGCCGAAGGTTGCCTACCCTACCCCTGTTCTAGATGTCGCTCCCTTCAGTTTATACTACAGCCCCTCTCAGTCTGAAGTCTATTGTCCGAGAATGATTAGGATCCAACAGGGCCCTGGGCAGATTACCGATTTGGGTCCCCTGTTCATTCTCCAAATGGAATGGTGAATAGGGCCAAGCAGATGTGTGGTTCCAGGGTCCATGTATAGTTGTTGAGCCCTATGGTCAGCTTATGGTGAACCATGCTCTGTCTGTCATCTCTGACCTGTTTAAGACGTATCTCCATGTTCTTCTTCTTTAACTAATGCCCATGTTTAGCAGAATCCCATCAAGCCCAGCTCTGTGCCATTCGGTCTCCGTTATTTCTCAACAAGCCTTAGCTCTGCCCATTTTATTTATTAGTCATAGAAGGCTGTTCCCCATGTAAGCTCAGTCCTTATAGATAGTAAGCAAGGTTTGCTTGGCTGCTTTGCCTTAGCCTTTGACATTTTTCAGTTGTCATTTCAGTTGCTACAAAAAGCCTGAATGTAGGGGATATTTTATAGCAGGACTACTCGATCTCTTACAGTTTGGTTTGCGTAGCGCTGAGATCCATCTTTATCCATTGCTGAATTCATCCTATTATTTCCTAACACGGTGATTCACTAACGTGAGAATTCAAAGTGAATTTCACATTTTAGATCAAAATAGTTGAACTGATAAAATTCAGTCAGTTGTGCTTTCAGTTTGACAATCACTTTTAATTCTCACATTAGTAAATATCCCTGTGAGTTTTCTGTCTGACCAATGTTGTTGTTATTTTTTTTTCTCTCTTCAGGTTGGGATGAAGCAACACTGGGATCTGGGACAAGAGCTACGGAAACGTTACAGTGGATTCCTTAATGAGTCGTACAACAGGCACGAGGTGCGAGACTGGGGGGAGTGGGAAATCAGTTCTCCAAAAGCAATTATTTTCCTTACACATCTACCAATTAAAGGGTTACTTCAGCCCCCCAAAAAAAGAATGAAGCTAAAACGCTAATTCCTCTCGAGCCCTGAGGCCAAGTTCTCCCTGCGGCCCAGTGCTCCACCTGTAATGTCAGAGTGAAATGATGTCAGTTAGGGGCAGCGCTCAGGGGAGGACAGTGCGGGCACGGTCGACCATTGGCTGTCTGTCACCAACATGCTATGTCTCACAATAAATAACAAATATACACAGAATTCACATTAGTCAGCCCAGAGCTCATGTTCGAGGCTGGCTAACGATGCCCTAGTAAAGCAGCTGGAGGCTGATTTACACCTCTGTGTGTCATAGCAAAACGCTATATTTACTATGTATGTTTGTCAAATTATTTGTCTTTTAAAATTATCCTGTGTCATCAGCATTTTACAAGTTAGTACAATTAGTAACTTCATGAATGGGATATGCTGCTCAGAAAGTTTTCCATAAATGTTTTTTTTGTTTGTTTGTTTTTTCTATTGACAAAGCATTTTGTTTTCTTTACTGAACTAACACAAACATATTACAAACAATTCTGCTTATGGCTAAAGTCAGCAGCTATTTTCCACCACCGTCCCTCTTTTATTCCACTTCTGTAGTAACTGGATCATTTTAAAATACAAATAATTTCACAAACATACATAGTAAATATAGTGTTTTGCTATGACAAGTTGTGACAAAATCAAAGCCTGATTTGTATGGCATATTACTGAGTTTACCAAACCAAGGCTCCCACAAAAATGACACGAAAGAAAAATGAAAGCTTTAGGAAGTAATTTTATTTAGTACAAATGTGTTATGATGTTTCTTTTTTCTGTATGCTTGGATTTTGACATTTAGCGGATACATTTTATTTACTAAATGCAGAGAGTCTTTCCTTTCTCAGTTCTGTTTGCAGTTGTCCATATCCAATCCTGACAATCTGGAGACACCTTTTTTAAGATTATTAATTCTTATGAAGTTTTGTTTTAAAGGTGACATTGGAACAAGTCTTGATCACCATGTTTTCAATTAAACAGCGTGGGACCTTCTTTTTTTTTTTTAACCATTTACTTTACTGCTGATTGTGTATCGGATTCAGCTATCCGTTTCTCACACTTGTCTCCTCAGATCTATGTGCGGAGCACAGACGTGGACCGTACACTGATGAGCGCCGAAGCTAACCTTGCAGGTCTGTACCCTCCTGCAGGTTCCCAGGTCTTCAACCCCAACATATCTTGGCAGCCGATCCCAGTGCACACTTTGCCCATGTCTCAAGACCATGTAAGTGGGGAGGCGTATCATTCTAGGGGGTCTGTCAGTACAGCACATCGTCCTTTGTTGACCTTTTTTTAATGGATTCTGTTTTAGCTGTTGACGTACCCTCTGCTCCCTTGCCCAAAGTACCTTAAGCTGCAGGAAGAAACACGTCTTTCTCCAGATTACGTCCAAAAGACAAAGGACAACAAAGTAAGCAGAATATTTGTTGCAATTGTTCTTCCCCACTTTTCTGGTGCATAAACTCCACTTTTGCCAGTTTACCTCAATCCCTGTGCTGTCACCTTGACACTTTGTTACCTCTGCTGCAGGAGTTCCTTCAGATGGTAGCAAATGAGACCGGGTTATCTGACTACTCTCTGGAATCAGTGTGGAGCATTTCTGATACCCTCTTCTGTGAGGTCAGTAATAAAACAGAGAAATGGGCTGGATTTAATGATCCCACAGGCTCGTTGACGGGATGCAGCCATGTGATGGAACTATTTCTTATATATCAGCTCTGTGAGCAAGGGCAGATTAATTAAATGCAAGTCTCTGGGGAGTTCCTATCCAGTTTTTATTTATGACATTGTTCCAACCCCGTCAAGGATATTGCATTACTCAGTTTGATTTACGCTGCCTATCGTATGCTATTATAAAATCAATCACGCTTTATTTGACACCCTGTAACTGAAACTATACATAAACAATCATATTAAAAAAATTTTGTGCCCTAATGTATTTTCCTTGTTGTTTTATCAACACCCTTCGTCCCCCCCAAAAAAATAAATGTAGGGAAAAAAACCCCCATAATTTAAAGGGCCATTAAGCTGTGTGTCAGTAGGTCAGTGTGATTGGCAATAAATTCTGCTCCTATTTTGAGAAGCTATAGCTGTTATTTAAAGCACAATCAACCACCCCATAGATCACTATAACAGGCAGAGATTCTGTACATTGTGTTCCCTGTGTATTATAATAAATAAATGCAATATCTGATATATTAAATTTAATATATTTAAATAGAATATATTACATTTTAAACATTTACTATATTAAATGGTGAGTTTAGTTTGTTCTACAAGATTTTACTGCAATTTCAGTGTAAATTATTCCTGTTCTTACTTGTTTTTAAATTTTCACTATTTTGGGCCTATTCCACTTAGAAAACGCACAACCTAAGCCTCCCTGTTTGGGCTACTCCTGATGTCCTGGCTCGACTTAGTGACTTAAAGGATTTCAGCTTCAGATTCCTCTTTGGAATCCATGATCGGGTTCAGAAAGCTCGTCTGCAGGGAGGTAAGTAGAATATCTGCCTGAATCCATCCTTATTCTGAGACAGGGCAAAAGATTCAAAAACCATGGGGCACTATGCTGTTAACATATCTCACTGTATCCAAACACCTGTAAACTCTATACGTCTTTCAGACATCTTTAAGATAAAATGTATTCATAACCAGTTCCTCCTTTCTTTATTTAGCACATACGTATACTTTAGCATGCTTGCTATCCCTGATCTTTCCCTCCCTAACTAATCTTCTCCAGTGTAGCTCACTACTCGTGAGCAAATAAAACTGTGTCTATGTAGATCCAACTCTAATTCTGTTTCCTGCATTCAAGACTGAGAATGAGGTTGCCATTCTTATCACAACCTTCAGTACTATCTATCTACATACTACTCTTTTCCTGTAGTCTACATTCTATGAGATTTTAATTCATCAACTGAACTATGGTCAACAAAACAACTTTAGCTTAATGAAGCAGTTTTGGTGTATACATCATGCCCCTGCAGTCTCACTGCTCACTTCTATGCCATTTAGGGGGTTAAATCACTTTGTTTTGTTTGTGCTAGGCACACCTCGCAGCATGTGACTCGCACAGCCTTCCTAAACACTTCCTGTAATAAGTCATCTAATGTTTACACTTCCTTTATTGCAAATTCTGGTTAATTTAGAATTTCTTCTCTCCTGTTATATTAATAGCTTGCTAGATCCTCCTGTATGCAATTAACTCCTTAATGACCACGGATGTACTGGGCACGTCCGTGGCAATTCCTAATTTCTTACCCGATCTCGGCCGTTCCCTTGCCGGCGATCGGCGTTCCTCTCATTGTGGAGGAACTGTCTGAAAGCCCAGACAGACCCTCCTTGGCAAATTAGGTCTGTGCGGGCCATGTGATCGCTCTGAAACAGCGGTCACATGGCCACAATAGGCGTCCAAAGTACTTCCTGCAGGAGGACTGCCTGAATTGACAGGCAGTCCCCCTGCTGGTAAAAAAAAGATTTCAAAAGTTTTAAAATAAAAAATAATGTTAATACATTTTTAAAGGTGTGTGTGTGTGTGTGTGTGTGTGTGTGTGTGTGTGTGTATGTGTATACATATATATATATATATATATATATATATATATAACATCATACTAAGTGTATTTTTTTATTAATATAAGGCTGCTTAAGCCTTATATCATCAGTGAAATTGCCCTTTGTGTCTGACAATATCATCGCTGTGATATGTTTTACTGTTTTGAATCACTAATATTTGTGTTCAGCGAAGTCTCCCGAGTAAAACAGTACCCCCCCTCATGTACAGGTTTTAGGGTGTCATAGAAAGTTACAGGGTTAAATACAGTGCCAGCAAATTAAAATCTCTGGACTTTCGGCCTGGGCTAGCAGGCAGGTCCCTCAAATTGCAATCAATAAAATGACTTAATTATGTGAAAATATTACATAAATACGCACGTAGAATTTAAATATATGTGCATATTTATATATTTGAAGTCTACGTGTATATGAAATTATTTATGTAATTTTGTATACGGATAGATATATATATTTAGTATTATTTTGATTTATTTATATATACATAGATGTGTATATATAATTTCATTCTAAGTGTATTTTGATATATATATATATATTAATATCAAAATACAGTTAGAATAAAATTTCATACAGATATAATTTAATTATACGTGTATTTTTATATTAATATAGCATCCAAGTAGAGAGCACTCTGGAGTCTTCGTTTTATATCAAAATAAATACTGCTTTATTGTGCAGAATACAAAAATGTCGACGTTTCAGTCACAATAGACGCTTAGTATGACATTATATATCTATATATATTATATAGATATAATATATGTCTATATATCATATATATATATATATATCTATACATACACATACACATATATAATTATATTTTTTTATTCACATTGACATTCATTTTTTTTATTTTACACATACAGGGAGACTGCCTGTCAGCACAGGCAGTTCCCCCGCAGGCAGACACTTGGACACCTATTGTGGCCATGTGACCGCTCTGTTGAGCAATCACGTGGCCGCGGGGTCCTAATTTGCCGCAGGGAGACTGCCTGGGCTGTCAGGCAGTCTCCCCAAATTGGGAGCAACGGCGAACGCCACAAGGGGAACGACGGCGACCGGGTGAGTAAAGATTTCAGTTATGACGGTTCAGGAACGCCACCGGTCCTCAAGTGGATTTTTCGGATGACTGTCCTTAATTGTCCGCGGCCGTGAAGGGGTTAAAAGACCACTATAGGCATCTAGACTACTTCAGCTCAATGAAGTGGTCTGGGTGCCAGGTCCCTCTAGTTTTAACCCTGCAGCTGAAAACATAGCAGTTTCAGAGAAACTGCCATGTTACACTAAGGGTTAATCCAGCCGCTAGAGGCGCTTCTGCACTTCTCAGAGAAGATGCTGGACGTCCATAGGAAAGCATTGAGTAATGCTTTCCTATTGGCGGTTTGAATGTGCGAGCGGCTCTTGCCGCGCATGCGCATTCAGATCTGACGTCGGCAGGAGGAGGAGAGTTCCCCAGCGCCAAGGGAGTCCGGTGCTGGAGAAAAGTAAGTGGCTGAAGGGGTTTTTTGACCCCTTCAGCCTAGCGGGAGTGGGACCCTGAGGGTGGGGGGGGACCTAAAAACCTTTTGTGTCAGGAAAATTAGTTTGTTTTCCTGGCACTATAATGGTCCTTTAATAAATCTCAGACCTCTTAGAGAAGCAATGGACTAGTTTGCAACAATGGTGAATTTGAGATAAAAATGTTTCAGGATATATTACATTGGGTTCATGTTCACACTGTTTTTTGTGCAGGTGTTTTGGTGGGCCAGATTCTGAAGAATATGTCAGCTGTACTACACAACCCTTCTAATGAACTGAAACTCATCGCCTATTCAGCAGTAGGTGTCTCCACAAGAGGGTGCATGAACTGACCCAGCTCAACGACTAGACAATCTCCTTTACATTATGCCCTCACTCATTGAGTATTATTCATGTGATTGTCACTGCTTTAATAGAAATGGGAAAAAAAACACACATAGGGGTATTCAATATATTGTTGGACATTTATCATAGTATTGGAAATTTAAGGTCAAAATAGCTTATTTTGTAAATATTCTCACCTATGTATCTAGCACAGTGATTGTGGCCCTAAATTCCAAATTCCTTGGTAAGTTCACAGTTTAATAAGTAACCTAGACAGATACCAGTTTAGAAATGTAGGTTGGGGGCTAACCTGCATTTAACCCTAAATTTAAGGGACATCAAGAAATCAAGCTACAGGTAAAGACAGCAGAAACACAGGAATTCAGTCATTTTATTTGGATTTGCTTTTTTTTTTTTTATTCAAGTTTACTATGATGTAATTATAGGAGAATACAAAGGGACAGAGGTAAGCAAACCAATTTAGAATCAGATAAAAGTTAAGCCTTGAGGTTCCAAGCATGCGAAAATGGTTACAAATTATAACATAGCGAGCTTGCTTCCAAAACAGGGTCTCCTCGGAGCCGTGTTTTGATTGGCTATTTGGTTGGTTGTTTCCAGCCAATCAGAATACAGTTAAAATGCAAGTTATGGCCAATGACCAGAAAATGCAAGGACTAGTATAAACTAATAAAAGCCCCTTTCTATGAAATTGTATGTACTATATAACTGGAATACAATATCGCATGTTTCCTGTTGTTATTTTCTATGGGTCAGTACTGCTTTAGTGCTTTGGCTGAGACTGATTGAGTAATGTTCATGTTGCTTCCTTTCCCCTGTCCATTTCCCTAGCATGACACCACTCTCGGAGCGTTGCAAATGGCTCTGAATGTCTACAATGGAAAGCAGTCTCCATACGCTGCCTGCCATATCATTGAACTGTATGAGGAAGGCCCTGGGTATGGATCTATTAGGTTGCTGTTTCCATTTCCCAAGGTCCTGCTGTCGTTTCTTTTCTCCTTCCCTCCACCTCTCTCGTGGTCCTTTTTGGCCACATCTTTCCTTATTCCAGTTTTCCTTCATCTTATATTCATAAATACAATGTGACACTCATTGCTAAATATTCTTCTCTTTTCAGCCTTTACACTTCCTCTAATCCCTGGTTCCTCTATTCTTTCCCTGAATCGACCTGGCAGTGTGTAGTCAGCCGTTCTTTCTGTATATTACTATTGTCTGTGTTTCTCATATCTGCCGTTTATCTTGTGATCAGACTACTTCCTCCCATTGCCGCTCTCCTAGTAATACCTATTTACATTCTGCTGGTATCCTTGCTTCCCCTCCTTTTCATCCTGCTCTAATTCTGTCAGTTCTCTCACATGTTCATTTCAATTTCATGTCACAGTTCATCCCGCAACACTAAACTCACTTCTTTTTTTGTTCTTCCCAGAAACTTCACGGTGGAGATGTACTTTAGGAATGAAAGTGGAAAGGCACCTTACCCTTTGACGCTCCCTGGCTGTAACCAGACCTGTCCGTTCCAGGATTTCCAGCGATTGCTCCAGCAAGTCATAACTGAAGATTGGTATCAAGAATGTCAGCTTGCCAGTACAACCCACGATACAAGTGAGTGTACAGAAACGAGCTGAGGAAGCAGCACAGCTGGTCTCTTAAGGCAGTTTCATAAAGGATTAGCTACCTCCCTGTATCAGGTCTTTGCCCTTTCATTAATTATAGAACACTGAATATTTTCATTAAGCAGACATCTAGAATAGACACTATGTATGCATTCAATATTTTCTTCTGTATAATCTGCTACTGCACCCTTTATACAGTCACACCTTTTACCTGTCTGAAAAATTGGCAGAAAGAAAAAAAGCACACTTTTGTGCTTTGTTTTTGTTTTTTATGTTTTGGAACCTGGTAAAAGCAACTTTTTGAATCAGAAAGAAAAAAAAAGTGATTTAAATGATAGAAGAGGCACAGTGAATGATAATTTGATGCAGATAATGAAATAAAGAGGTGTAGATTAGAAAATGCTGTGCAGATGGTTTACATTTGTATACTCTGTATACCCCAGTGATGTCTATCCTGTGGCACTATACTTGTTTGAAATACTATACATTTCTTACAATGCTGTGCAAGTAAATAGCTGGCAGGGCATTGTGGGAGTTGTTCTCAATAGTAATTTCAATGCTTAGAGTTAGCCGTCACTGGTATATAATGTCAGAGAGTTGGAAACAGAACCAACAGCATTTCAACCTCTTGTCAGGGATTGGTCTGAAAGGGGGTGCTGATACAGTAACTCTGCAATGAAAGTTAAGGTGGAACCTTTATATAGGGACTCAACACAGTGAGATAAAGTGAAACATATATTAACGTTGATACAAGCCGGACCACGAGGTGCCAGGTTACGAGGCTGGCCTCGAGGTGCCAGGGTACGAGGTGGGCTTCAAGATGTCAGAATACAAGGTGGGCCTCGAGGTGACAGGATACAAGGTGGGCCTCGAGGTGACAGGATACAAGGTGGGCCTCGAGGTGCCAGGGTGCGAGGCGGGCCTCAAGGTGCCAGGGTACGAGGTGGGCTTCAAGATGTCAGGATACAAGCCTGACCACGAGGTGCCAGGGTACGAGGAGGGCTTCAAGATGTCAGGATACAAGGCAGGCCTCGAGATGACAGGATACGAGACGGACCACGAGGTGCCAGGTTACGAGGCGGGCCTCGAGGTGCCAGGTTACGAGGCGGGCCTCGAGGTGCCAGGTTACGAGGCGGGCCTCGAGGTGCCAGGTTACGAGGCGGGCCTCGAGGTGCCAGGTTACGAGGCGGGCCTAGGTAATCAGGACTCGAGGAGACAGGATAAGAGACAGGCATCAGAGAGCAGGCCTAGAGGAGACAGGATAAGAGGCAGGCCTCGAGGATACAAGATATGAGGCAGGCCTCGAGGAGACAGGATACAAGGCAGGCCTAAGGAATCAGGGAGCAGGCCTCGAGGAGACAGGGTACTAAGCGGGCCTTGAGGATACAGGATACGAGGCAGGCCTAAGGAATCAGGGAACAGGCCTCGAGGAGACAGGATACGAGGCAGGCCTCTGGCACAAAAACAGCTAGACATTGAAACAATACCCAAACCATGAACCAGTGTTCTGGCAACTAATTAAGAGCGAGGCTGATTTTAAAGGAAGGTAAATTAACAGAGAGTAACCAGCTGAGAGCAAAATCAGATCTCTTCAACCCGGCAGTGCAGCAATTACAGCAAATTAGAGGCACTGCTCCAGGCTGAGGAGATCTAAAAAGAAAACATGGAATTTATATAAAACCTGACACCTCTTTCTTGTCTTCTTGTGCAGAGGTTATCATCGGTCTGGTAGCCTGTGGATCAATCCTTCTTCTTCTTGTTGTTCTGCTCCTCGGGGTACTGCTACGGCAGAAGTCTCAGCCTGTGGGGTACCATCATGTCTCCGATATGGGGGAAGAACAGACCTAATTTCGTCCATGCCTTCACCCTCCCCAAACTCTCTCTCAAGAGATTCCATTCTAAACGATGATTTTAGTATTTTTATTTTTTTAATTTGGGATCAACCCGAAACATGTGAAATTGAAACTTGCAGTCAGGAGTTTCCTTGGCAACACAACAATGCAATACTTACAAGACTGAAGCCATGCTCTCCTGGATATAGCATAATGCAGTGTAAATCAAGATATCGGATGATCACAAGTCTGCAGTAACCTATTTCAATCTCTCTGAGTCTTTGCCTTCCTACACTAGTTTCTTGTTACCTGCCAGTGGACCTTGAGATACAAAATGAGTCAGAGCTTTCTTCCAAGGAAAAGGGTCAGATATCGATTGTTACCGATTAATCATAACAAATCTTTATCTTGTTCTTTTAACTTTGCGCTGGTTTCAGAAAAATGACACCCACCAAGAATTCACTTAAAATTCTAGCAATCACCTTGACACAAGCAACAGCAGTGTTGTGGCCAGAGGACACAACTTTGGAAACATTTAGTCTGGTTGAACTGGAATGATAATATAATTGTGATTCTTTTAGGTGTCCAGTACTGCAGTAAGAGCAAAGCACCTCGGCTTGGGAGAATCACTACAAAGTTTTTGGATTCCTAAGATTACCTGTACATATTTTAGTACCTGCACTGTCTGACTTTTTAACAGAGTAGGCTGTAGATTGTTAACCCTTTATCAATCAATGCCATAACCATCTGATTTTTGTAGACCCAATGCCTGTGTATTCAGCATCAGAAGCTATAGGTAGATCTGCTAACTTGAAATTAGGCTGTGCCTTCTATGTTGGCATTTTGATTGTTTAAGGACAATTCATAGGATAATATTATTAGTCCAGATTCTATTAAAATCCCAGGAATCTTTTTTTTTTTTTTTTTAATCAAAGAAGGTTTTGAAATGGGAATCAGATTAGGCAGCGGTTTCAAATGTTGAAACAATGGGATTTATTTACTAAATACAACAACACAGCATTCACATCGAAAAACAAATAACCTCTATTCCAACAGCAGCCGTTTAGGTAGAAAATAAATGCTGCCGTATTAAATGCCATTACTGTCAGCAGAACTCTAGATTGAAGCTAAAATGTAGTTAAGAAGGGCAACCCCATTGCCGTGTTCACAAAAAGGAAGACAAATGCCTTACAATTTTTCCCCTAATCTGTAAGGCTATTTGAATAAAAAATTTTTTTAAAAAAACATTGAAGTTTAGTCATTAAAAAGTGAGCATATTGAGGCTTAAGATGAGATTTACTAAGATGCTTTGATCAGAAAAGCAGTACAAATTCGTACAGGTGGAGTAATTGCCGTTGCACTATACCTGCTGATTATATTGGTTTCCATGGTGATTGCTTCAAGTTTAGAACAGGACCGTTTGATAAATTCCCCCTTTATTTCCTGAAGGTAACATATGCACTTTAAACAGAAGCAGGACTGTAGCTGGTTCTATGTAGTTCAGCTTCAAGTAGCTGTTTTTTAGTGAATAAATGCCTTTGCGAATTACCCACTCAGTCATTGTGCTACTGAGTTTTATTACATTTTACCGCTCTGACAGCTTAGTATGTAGAACCATTTCCCCCACATATTGTTTTTCCTCTTTGGCCTCTCTGACACTTTTAGGGAAGGCATTTGTAAACCTTTCCCCAAACACTGTTTACGTGCTATTTGCACTTTTACAGAATATCAATACCATAGAAGATTCTCTTAACGCTAATTGAAGTGGTCTAGATGCAGTGTCCCTATTGCACATAGTGCTGCACTGTGGAACATTGCAGTTCCAGAGAAACTGGAATAACTACAATGTTTACATTATAGCACTAAGTCTGCCTCCAGTGGCAATCTCACAGACAGCCACTGGTGGTGCTTCCATGATCGAAACGGACCTTTGGACCAGTATCTGACGCTGGACGTCCTCACGCTCTGCATGAGGGCATCCAGCATCAAATTTCCCCCCCATAGAAAAGCATTGATTTAATACCTTCATATGGCGAAGTCTAATGTGTGCGCATTCGCACCGACTCCTCGGAAACATCAGAGGGGCGGAGCATCGGAGCTAGGATATGGTAAGTAAATAAATGGTTTACCCTTTTTTTAAAGCAGGGTGGGTGGTGCGAGGGGGGGGGGAGGCAGAGGGAGCAATAGTTGCAGGAATACAGCTTTGTATTCCTGGTACTTATAGTATCCCTTTAGCTTAGCACTGACCTCACATCATATTAGAAAAATGTAGCTAGATTATGTAACAGGAAATGCCTATTTTATAGTTGTTTTGCTACTGTCAGTACAAACCTTTTGAAATACATTGTAGAGCAGGTAAAGGAAATATGTCTAGTGTTCTTTGCCTCCTTTCTATGCTAGGAGGGTAATCTAAATCAAAGACAGTCAGATAGAACATTGTATATGTGCACATCACATACAGTAATATCAGAAGACACTGCAAATTTTATAAAGGGTAAGCTTGACTCTTTCTTTTTTTTTTTTCCTGTCAAAAAAAAGGCCAAACACACGTTACCCCTTAAGTGCCAGTGAAAGTCTATGCCTTCATTACAATCTAGTCTTCACGGTTCCTATTCTGAAACTGAAAATCCCACTGATTTAATGTTGGTGATGCCAAAAAGCTAGAAATCCCATACTGGAATAAGGTTTTAGGAGCCAGGTTGTGGTGACGATAAAGAATGTTATTGGCTTTTAAGGGATAAAGCCATCGGACTGTTATTTGCACAATGATTTTAGCATTTTGTTTTGATTATGTATGTTTTTATTTCCTGTTTGTTTGTTAGTTTGTTCGTTTGTTTGATTGAAATTAATCTGTTACCAAATTAAAGATGACGAGAAAGAGTTGATTTTTACTGGCTACATTACAGATTTCACAACAGACCTTGAATGGGCAAGTACTGTGAGCTATTGGAAGTCAAACTGGCTTCTGTTTACATAGTTTGATCTTGGTGTAGGCTTCTTCCATACGAAGCATGGAATTTTTATTCAGGACAAATACATTTTGTAGCATTTTATGGTAAACATCAGTGGTTGACAACACTTGACAATAGGTGGAGCTTCCTCTGTTCCGTTTTGACAGCTATAACTAGAGGCTGCTGTGGGACTCCAGCTTTGCCTCTCGTATTTGTGAGACTTGATCTCTTGCGGGAACCTCCATAGACCTCAGTGCACGTCAAAGTACAGCACTGATGTGGGCCCTTGTTGGATCTAGTAGCACAAGCTGAGGGATGAAGATTGAGGCACCTATGGTGGACATCTTCAGGGAAGTATAAGGTACCTTTGTGCACCCTGGCCCACCTCACCGGAAACGGTGATGTCACCATCAGGGGTGTCTGCAAAATATGCAAAAATCCCCAAAAGTGGCAGAACTGTTTTAAGGATGACTAACGATATGATGTTCTACTGAGAGAGACTGTCAGGATTTTACAGCACCCGAACACACAAATCTAGGACAGCACTTAGAAAGAGTAACGTGTGACTGGGCTAATGTGTAAACCAGAAGTGGAATGGCCACGAGACAAGCAGAGTTCAAGTAACTACAAAATAACAGAGAGCATGAACCAGCCGAGGTCAGTATTGGAGAAGTCCTAATAGTCAGAACACAAGCCAAAGTTGACAACCAGAATAATCAAGAAACTAACAAATGCACATTTGAGCTACTAGAGACCACAACTGTGTGCAGTTCTCATGTTGTAGTGAGTATATATAGCTCTAGTATTTTGCATCATCAGAGTGATGTTAACGCCATGCCTGCGTCATATTGGGTACAAGAAAAGTGGTCATGTGAATCTTGAGGCCGGAATGATGCACAGCGTCATTTTCACATCGGAAAAAGAGTGGAAAGTCCTATGTCAAAGATGTCACCAGATATAATTGTGCAGTATTCTCGACATGCACCATAAATTTCTGTCGATGCACCATTTATGTTTGTGATGATATGTCTCAACCCGCAAGGATTGCTCTGATTGCCCTGTAAAAAATGATGTGGCCAGCAGGACACACTGGGTCACATTTTGAAGCAAAATGATGCTATGATGAGGTGGGTAATCTGAGAGATGATGGGGAGAAAAAAATAGGGGTGATAGGAAAATGTAATTGGTGCTATAAACGTGATTATAGAGGGATAGGATAGATAAAGAGTGGGGTGACTAGGGAGGGGTATTCGGGGCCTAGTGAGAAATAATTGGGGAGAGATAACTAAGATTGCACACAAACACACACACGGATATACATACACTGAAATTGCATAAACATTTGGAGAAAGCATTAGCTACTTTGGTATTCTTACACACATCCTTATTCTGTCATTTAGCATTTGTTCAAGTCAGGAAAATGATTTATGTTTGCATACGTTACACTATAGACTATATGAATCGTAGCTCCACATGATTTCCCCCCTTTCCTAAGTATTCTACATATCCAGGCAACTTTCTATGATCTAACTTCACCGGTCATTCAATTTACAGCTCCAGTTGTTGGCAGACCATAGTATTGAGCTTTTGCTAACTTGTTAAAGGACTACTATAGTGCCCTGAGGGGGCCCCCACCCTCAGGGTCCCCCTCCCGCCCGGCTCTGGAAGGGGGAAAGGGGTAAAATTTTACCTTTTTCCAGCGCTGGGCGGGGAGCACTCTGCCTCCTCTCCTCCTCCAATCCGCCCTGTCGGCTGAATGCGCACACACGGCAGGAGCTGCGCGCGCATTCAGCTGGTCGCATAGGAAAGCATTCATAATGCTTTCCTATGGACGCTGGCGTGCTCTCACTGTGAAAATCACAGTAAGCGCCTCTAGCGGCTGTCAATGAGACAGCCACTAGAGGATTTGAAGGAAGGCTTAACCCATTGATAAACATAGCAGTTTCTTTGAAACTGCTATGTTTATTAAAAAAAATGGGTTAACCCTAGAACGACCTGGCACCCAGACCACTTCATTAAGCTGAAGTGGTCTGGGTGCCTAGAGTGGTCCTTTAACTAGGTCTTAAAGGGACACTATAAGCACCCAGACCACTTCAGCTCATTGAAGTGGTCTGGGTGCAAACTCCCAGTTTTTCTAAACTGCAATAATTACCATCCAGGGTTAACTCCACCTCTAGTGGCTGTCTACCAAACAGCCACTAGAGGGACTTCTGGGTTAATAGGCGACTTTTCCTCCCCCGCCGGCTGATGTCAGCAGGGGTGGAACTGGACCCAGGTAAGTGACCACAGAGGGGGCAGTAAGGGGGTGAGGGGCCTTGACAGAGGGTGTAGCTGTAGTGCCAGGAAAACTAGTGTTTTTTTCCAGTGCTTGGCCTCAAACTAAAGCTCATTTGCTCTATGTATCCACTTCTTCCATAGACGGTCCAAACAATAGCGATTAACATTTAAATTATTTACCAAATAATTACCTTCACTAGGCTCGCTTTAAGAAAAAAGATGAATGGTTTGATAGATTATGTGTGATTGCTCTTCGAATTCCTCTTCTAGAAAAAGCCTCCTATTCCCAGAGCTTTGATAAGAAAACAGAAACCGCTGTGGTGGCTTGAAATCTGAGAATCCACAAGAGTCCCTATTTTAACATGTTTAACTGGTGTAATTCCCAGGTTTTACTATTAACATGACGTAAAGTCATGATTTTAATAAAGACACGGAGGCGGGTATTATGCATAACTCTTTCTTTATTTCCTCAGCAGCAAAGATAGAGGAATATAAATATTGTCAAAATGAAAGAAAAAACTGTATAGATACACAGGCAGCCAATCACATAACAGAGGAAGTGACTATATAAGGCCTGTGTCTCCCACAATCCCCCTCTTTTTTGCGAAAACCGAAGACCAGGTAAGAAGAACGAAATCCAACTTGTCCAGAACAGGAAAAGGCAACAAACCGATAACTTCAAGCTAAAAGAGAGAGAGAAATATGGTAATATCCAAACTCCAAACTGTAGACTTACCAAAACAAACTGTTGGTCATTCAATGATCGAAAAAATTGGAATCAAAACAAATTATTGGTAGTTCAATGATATAAACCGGAATCTGAAAGACATAAAATATATCATTAATATAATATGTAAATAATATACACAAATCTCATCAAAAACAGACCGAAATGAAACGTACCTGAAGAGTCCAATAGCATCTCATCCCTATACCCACAACGGGAGGGTGGGAGGGAATAATACTCGTCTCCGTGTCTTTAATAAAATCATGACTTTACGTCATGTTAATAGTAAAATCTGGGAATTTTATTAAAGACACGGAGGCTCATATTATGCAAGTTTAAAGCTGTGCCATCACCTGAGATGCGATATGTTCAATAGGTTTGAAATAGAAGTCGCGGAAGGTCGATTCTCTAGACCAGTCCGCTGCACGCATGATGTCCGACAGCCGACTGTGGATGCCTTCGAAGCCATAGCACCCCGAACAGAGTGAGGCGTTAAGACAGAAGTGTCTATACCTGCTGAGGATAAAAGCCAGCGTACCCAACGTGCCAGAGTCGGAGTCGAAACAGGCCGATGAGGCGCCTTAAAAGACACGAATAAAGGATGTAAATCCAAGGAACAAAGAGATCGTGTAGCGTCCAGATAAGCCTTCAGACATTCTACTGGACATAATGCTGGAGAGTCCAGGAACCTAGGATATACAAACGACTTGGATGCCGATTTTGTCCTTCTGGATATGTTGAAAGTAACAACCTCCGGGGTGAAAACAATGGCGTCCCAATCAAGGGCCCTAACATCAGACACCCTCTTACACGAAACCAAACAGAGTAGCATCACTAGTTTGGAGGACAATTGCTTGAGATTCAGTCCGTGGTTAGGATACCATGACGAGAGGAACTGTAACATGACGTTGACGTCCCAGAAGACAGAGAAACGAGGTCTAGGAGGGCGAGCGAGGTGGATACCCTTGAGAAGACGACACACAAAAGGATGCCTGCCGACTGGCGAACCATCTAAACCACTATGTCCGGCCGAAATCGCAGAGCGGGAAAGGTTGATAGTGCGGTACGCCTTGCCCGTATCAAACAGTGCCGTGAGGAACTCCAGGATCAGATGGAGAGGGGCAGATACGGGATCCATTGCCCGTTCCATGCACCAATCAGACCATGAATTCCATGAAGCACGGTAAGCTGATCTCGTACCGGGAGCCCAGGCGTTATCGAGGAGCAGGAGAGTTGATCGTGGAACATTTGGGACAGCCCAGGTTCCCCTGAAAGCAGGCACGCTACTAGAGGCAATTGCCGTTGTAGCACCAGACCGTGAGAGTTCCCGTCCGGATCCAGAAGGAGATCCTGGAAGCTCGGGATCAACCGGGGGTAGTCTATCGACAACTCCAACAGAGTTGGTCGGGATCTCCACAGAGGAGTGATCAACGACAGGCAACAATCGTGAACCAGCTTCGAGATCGTTCGGGCGATCATGTTGAATGGGGGAAATGCATAAAGGCAGCCCGGTGGCCATTCCTGGAGAAAGGCGTCCGTCGCCACCGCCGCCGGGTCCCGCCTCCAACTGTAAAACTCTGGTAGTTGAGTGTTCAGACGGGACGCGAACAGATCCATCCTGAACCGTCCCCATAGTCTGTCCAGGCCTCGGAATACCGAAACGTGCAAGTGCCAGTCTCCCGAGTCTCTCAAATGCCTGGAATTCCAATCCGCGTCCGAATTGTCCAGTCCCGGAATGTGTTCCGCTGTCACGGAGACATTGTTGTAAAGGCAAAATTGCCAAAAATCCTTCGCCAACAGGGCTAACATCCTGGACTTGGTGCCCCCAAGGTGGTTTATATAGCGCACTGCCGACACGTTGTCCATCTTGAGGAGAACGCAGCAGTCCGCCCGTCCTGGGGTAAGGCTGCGAATCGCGATTGCCCCTGCTAAGAGTTCCAGACAGTTGATGTGCAGGAATCTCTCTATCTCGGACCATCTGCCTCCTGTGGAAACGTTACCACAGCGAGCACCCCAGCCGTGTAAGCTGGCATCTGACTCTATCACCACGTCCGGGACGGAACCGAAGATGGCCCTCCCGTTCCAGGCTTCCATGTGTGCCAACCACCAAACCAGTTCGTCTCTGGATTCCTCGTCCAGTCGTACCCGAGATTCGTAGGAATGGCCCGACCGGAGGTGCGAACCCTTGAGCCTTTGGAGGGCACGGTAATGCAGTGGTCCCGGGAATATCGCCTGAATGGAGGCCGCAAGGAGGCCGATAATACGTGCCAACTGTCTGACGGACAGGTCCGGTACACGAAGAGCCCTTCGCAGCTCCCTTTGGATGGCTTTCACCTTCGAATCCGGCAGGTATAGAAATTGGCGGATGGAATCCACCTGGAAACCTAAGAATTCCATTGATTGTGCGGGGTCTAGGACCGATTTGTCCCAGTTGATCATGAAACCCAGGTTTTGAAGTAGATCAATCGTCCATCCCAAATGCACTAGAAGATGGTCCCTGGACTGGGACATGATTAAAATGTCGTCCAGGTAAATGATCAAACGTACCCCACGGGTACGGAGGAACTCCATCACAGGCTTCATGATCTTGGTGAAACACCAAGGAGCCGAGGAAAGGCCGAATGGCAGGCAGGTAAAGCACCATCGCCTCCCGTGCCAGGTGAAGTGTAAGTAGTCCCTGTATTCCACCGCTATCGGCACCGTGAAATACGCGTCCTTCAGATCCAACTTGGCCAGCCAGTCCGACTGCCGAAGGAGGTCTCTGAGGCAGTGTATACCTTCCATCTGAAAATGCTGGTATCGGAGGAATGCGTTGAGAGGACGGAGATTTATCACCGGACGGACCCAGCCCCCTTTCTTGGGTACCAGAAAGAGATTGCTCGTAAAGCCCGGAGTGGCGAACGGCAACTCTTCTACTGCGCCTTTTGATAGCATCTCCCCGACGTCCGCGGAGATAATCTCGTCCTGCTCTGGCGGAAGAGACAATTCCCTGGGGACATGAAATTGGACAAACTCCAGGCGATAACCCTTTACACACTGTAGGACCCAAGCGTCTGAAGTAATACTTGCCCACCCCTGGTGGAACAGAGCCAGCCTGCCCGCTAACCGCACCTGAGTGATAGGGGAAGAAAGGGTATTCACCATAAGGGCGTCTGCCTGAAGCGGCACCGCGGGGGTATCTGGAGCCCCAAGATCTCCCTCTGGCTGGGAAGAAAGGAGGCGTCCTTGAATCCTGAAATCCCCGGGACGGGAAAAAGGAACCTCTGGGGGCACGGAAGGAGCCTCGGAAACCGCGGCCGGGTGGACGGTTCCTGCTACGCCCGGCCCCTCCGAAAACCTTGGGTGCGAACATGCGCTTCATGTTCGCCTGCGCTTTGTCAATGGCCGTAAAGGTCTTAACATATGACCCCAAGTCCTTAACAAAAGAAGTACCGAACAAGACCCCTTCCTCGGATGGACCAGGTTCCGCCACCGTCATGGCAGCTAATTTCGGGTCAAGTTTAAGGAGTATCGCCTTACGCCTCTCCGAGGACATGGCGGTATTTGCGTTCCCCAAAAGGCAGATAGCCCTCTGGACCCAACCTATGGCAACGTCAACGTCCAGCACGGAATTGCCTGCTCTAGCGGCGTCCAGGAGCTCGTATAATTTGGATAAAGGGCCCAGGGTATCCAAGATCTTGTCCTGGCACCCCTTGAGCGAATAGTCCAAGCCCTTCTTGGGCTTCCAACCTGACTTGTTCAGGAATTGAGCAATCTGGGGATCGATGTCAGGGGTTTTGCAGGCCACCCAGAGGGCCTGGGGCATTCGGCCCGCAACTTATTGCGACCCTCCTTGGAAAGGGGGGTACGCATACGCCGTGCCACGTATTGAGCAATATGGTCTGGGGGAACCCACTCTGCGGACCTAGGGTGACGGAGATCGTCGGGGTCGAATAGAGGGTTGCCCTGAGGGTCAAACAGCGCTTTGGTATCCCTTGTGGGGTCTAGTATTTGATTATGGGCAGTGGCGGAGGTCCCAGAAGGGGTCACACCCGTAAGTGGTAAGTCCTCACCCGACTCACCCTCATCAAAGGAGTCATACTCCATAACGTCGGACTCATTCTCCACACTCCGGTCGGTATCCGACCCATCATCCAGGGCTTTAGCCCGTTTCCATAATCTAGCCTTTTCAGCCCGGCCAGGGGCTCTTTTGCGCGTGGGAGGCGCGCTGTCAGTGACCGCCTCTAGCATGTCAGTCATGGCAGGTAGAACCTGCATCGAGGAGTGGGAGTCGACATGTTTTGACTTCGCCTTAGCCTTACGGGCCCCAGGCACAGTCGGGGTAGGTGAGGAGGTTCCCATGCCCAGGAGGGCGGGGGCCGCCATGGAAGGCAATAGTAAGGAATGCAGGGATTGGGAAAAGGAGGAGGATACAGCACCCATGGCTGAAGCAAAAGCCTTTTGCAAGGAAGAGGCCATAGTGGCATCTAGCAGGGCTTGAAATTCCTGGGAAGCATTAGCCCCCTCAGGATTGTCTGGAGTAAAATCAGTGGTGAGGCCCTCAGGCCCTTCCACCCTATCCTGCATAGTGGCAACCAATGTACAAGGAAAAAACCCAGTATGATAAGCTATAAGGACAAAGTGACAGAGCAAAAGGGTTGATTAACCCACAGAAAAGGAGAATAGGGGACAAAAAACCTTTGTACTGGTGTACCCCAGGGACCCAGAGGCAGAGCAGAGCGCACGGCAGCAGAGGGAACGACCGAGACGGAGAAGGACCGCCCCCAAGATGGCCGCCGCACGTGCAGAGTGCGCTCGCGGACTGCAACCCGGCGGGGGAAGGGGCGCGTGCACCTACCCGCGCGGGCAGCCTGCGAGCGAGCCGAGAGACACTGACAGCCGCGGCAGGTGTTAGAAATAGCCGCGGCTGAAAGCTGGATCCAGGTCCCGCGCGGCACCCGCCGGCAAGCAGGGCGGGCGCGGGAGGGGGAATAAAAGGTGAATACACCAGCACAAGGGGAAGAAGGGATAAACAGAAAAGACAGCTGCACAGAGCAGGCAGCAGTAATAACAAAACAAAACAAATCCCATATTACACAACAAATAGCAATAAAAGATCAAACAATACACAATGAGTAAGGAGCATAAAAGCAAGGTACTTAGCTGTCTGAGGAAGCAGCAAAGAAAGAGGGGGATTGTGGGAGACACAGGCCTTATATAGTCACTTCCTCTGTTATGTGATTGGTTGCCTGTGTATCTATACAGTTTTTTCTTTCATTTTGACAATATTTATATTCCTCTATCTTTGCTGCTGAGGAAATAAAGAAAGAGTTATGCATAATATGAGCCTCCGTGTCTTTAATAAAATTGGGTTTCGTAGGACATACAATGATCCAATCAGCAGACTTGTCAATTACATCCCAGGCTTCTCCTACATCACGAGCAGGTTATTCACTAAAGGGAGAATTCAAAGTCAATACAATTAGAATTTCAAATTTAAGGGCAAAATAGCAGAACTGGAAATATTCTATAATTCAGCTTTGCTTCCAGTTCGGCTTCTCTCACTTTAGAACCCTGTGGGTTTTGGAGTTAGTGAATACATATATGTACCAGGAGATGCCACATTTACGTTTCAATATAATGGAAATAGCAATGCTTAAGTTCTTGATCCAGACCTTCGGCACCCAGATATTGTGGACTACGTCTCCCATGATGCTTTGCTAGCATCGTTGCTGTAAGAGCATTGTTGAAGATCTAGTCCACAACATCTGTAGTGATGGAAGTCAGATACCCTGATTCCCAATATATAGTAACATTCTAACTCGCTGTCAGTGTTCCCACGTTGGTTTTCTGCTCTATGACACTGTATTACCATTCATTGTAAAACAGGATTTACTGCTGTATAGTTTCCAATATAGAAGCGGACAGTGTTATTTATGTTCCGATTTAAACCAGAAATATTGTTGCGTAACAAATGCGTTAAAGACGTAAACATGTGAACAATAGACAGACTGTATAGAATCATCCATAAACGGAAGGTCCTGTCAGAGGGAACCTGCCCATCGAAAATTCCTTAACCGTTAAATAAGTGTATCACACAATAGTGCAGTGTAGAATTGAAGAATAGATTATTCTCTTAGTTTCTCTTGCATTAAAGCCTTCTTTATCTGTTGACCTGCAGCACAGCCTGGTAGGGCAACATGTGATATTTTGTAGCAGGCCTGTGTCTGTACAAATACTTACAGATATTGAGGAAGTACAACTAACTTCCTCTTTATGAATCCTTAGCAGACATTGTGGGCTTTGTGTACTGGAAACTCTTTAGATTGTTCTGATATCCCTTGAAAACAGTTGGACAGCACCAATAATCTAATACTATATCCACTACAACAGGATGCATGAAAAGCTAATGTTTCCTACCACTGCATGGACCACAATAAATACAGTGAACCAAAAGCTGTCCAATCCCTCGATATACTGTTATAGGCAGACAACTGCCTAATACACCGGGTCAGGAACTTCCCAATCCTACCCAAACTGCTACATTGCAACCATTCTCTGATACTGTAGCTAACGGACATCTACTTTTCTGGTTAGTGTGAATCAATGAGACAGTTGGATTATCTTCACAAAGAACCCTGGCGTAATCATGGGCAATAATCTCCCGTTAAAACCCCAATCCGCAGCAAAAACAAAAAGACTAACTGAAAATACTACAAGTACACAAAATAATACAGCGTCCAGGTAACACGGACTCAAAGAGCAGTCACTGAACCAGTACCATTGATCTGGTCTACAACATAGGTTTATATGTGAACATAACAGATTACAGTCTATTCAGAACAATACAGCTACAATAATCTAGGAAACAAATCCCTTTCAAACAACTGTACACAAGGAACAAAACCAGACTGATACACTATCTAAACATACAGAAGATACTTGGCTCTTTGACATTTCTTGCTATCATTCACCAACATCCCTTGTTAATTTCCACCACATCCCATTTTCTTTCTGACCACTGCCTCCAATTAAGCATATTTGAGTATGTTCCCCAAATAAAGTTTGAGACAAGCATTCTTCTGACTATAAACTCTCTTTATTATATGGTTCACGTTTGCTGCTAACACAGCATGTCCACAACTATATTAAATTATAAACAATAATAAAACAAAACTGTGATGGATGGCCGGATTTGTTTGGTGCAAGCCATAAACTTGCAGCGCCATTTTTGTGACTGTTTTCTACGTATCTAGATATCGCTGTATTGTGTATCTAAACCAGGGCCGGCCTTAGGCCTTTAGGCGCCCTTTACAAAACATCTTCGCAGCGCCACCCCTCCCCTGTCTTCCATGTATAGTGTGTGTATAGAAGTATTGATTGTATAGGGGATTTATTAAATTAACCCCTTAAGGACACATGATGGAAATACTCCATCATGATTCCCTTTTATTCCATAAGTTGTTTCATTAAGGGGTTAATAATGATTTAAAAATAAATATTCATTACACACACACACACACACACACACACACACAGTTACAGGCAGACAATTACAAACACCCACAACTACAGATGGACAGTCAAGTACATACAGCCACATATACAGTGTCACACACACACACACACACACCGTTACATGCAGTCACACACATACAGGCAGACAGCTGCAGACTGCCACACACACACACAAGCAGACAGCCACGCACACAGGCAGAGAGCCGCACACAGGCAGACAGCCGCACACAGACACACACAGTTATCTCTATTTATTATGGAGGTGGAAGTAGTGCAGCTCCTGAATTCTGGTTGTTGGGGAAGCAGGGACTCCTTCCTGCTTCCCATGCAGCAATTACCCGGCCCTTCTAGCCGCGCCCCGCCGCATGCAATGTTTTTTTTTTATATCCCGGGTGGAGAATAATGAAATCCTCCACCCAGGTAGCCGTCAATGTGTGAGCTGTCGGTCGCAGGGAGCCCCCTGCTTCATGGCGTCCTGTGCGGCCGCACAGCTCGCACACCCCTAAGGCAAGCCCTGACCTATATTATACATAAAACAGTGTGTGGAGGAGCAGCTCTATAAACTATAGTTAGGTGTGAAATGTAATATTGTAAAGCGATACGGAATATGTTGGCGCTATATAAATGGCAATGATAATAATAAATGTATTCTGTGGGCTATTCAAGTTAAATGCTACACTGTGAGTGACCACCTGCTGTGGGAGCCAGAAAGTCTATCTACTACAGCAAAGGGCTGTGTTGATGTAACCAGAGATTTCTCTGGAGGGACAGTGGGTGCAATCAAGATAACCTTTTGTTGTCAGGGTGTATTGGTACAGGGGGAGGTGGTAACTAGTGTAAGGAATCACTTTGTATCTTTGTAGTTCTTCTCCTGTGACCTGTTCTGTATTTCCATTGGTGAATGTTTTGTGTAATGTTTATTTCACTGTATGCTGTGATCTGTGTAAGCTGGGTCTGGATACAATAAACAGTCAGAGTGAGTCTGAGCTCTGAGGAGTTGTCAAGAAAGAAGTTGGTGTTGTCTCTACCTTGAGGTCTCACAAGATATGGCTTTTCATTGTCGTTTATAGAGTAATTACTAATAAGGGTATTGCCAGAAGACTGGATGGATAGAATATCATGTAGTAACCAGATATCCGCTCAGTATATCCTGCGGACGCTACCAAAGAGGAGTCCTAGCATTTAGTGGAGCAGTTTAGTGCTGCAAGTTATGTTAAAAGACCCACGGATGATATATTAAGACCGTATCGTCACAAAAACCTATATGTAAAGTCCAACAAATATTTGGGAAAATTCTGAGAACGAAGAAAATAAAATACACCAATATAATCACTGTGTGGGCAGCTTTATGTGTAGATGGGATTGCTATATGTGACCATTTATATATGAAATAAACAGATTTTGGACAGAGAATGTAAATGTTACGAGTTGGGTGTATAGCATCTTTGCTAGATATGAGACACACACGGCAAGGTCTGAGATTGTATCCAAAAAGACGATTGGGGACCTCATCTGCTTTTCAGACAGGTATTGGAGTTCTCTGTGCCATTTAGGTCTCAGTTGTGTCATTTTCTATTTAAGGTACTAAATACAGGTTAGGTTACAGGTATACTGGGTGCTTTTTTTGGTTTTAACTTTTAAATATCATCTATTAAAACATTACTTGGCTAAATAATCCTTGCCTTTATGCCTCTTACTACCAACCTTCAGTGTGTCCCCTGTGGCTCCATTTATGATGCCATACATGACAAAATGATGCAGGCTTCTGGAAGGTACAGTCGAGCTGGTCGTTTTATACATCAGAAAGCGGTCACGTTAAAACGCTCACAAATCCTTGCTGTAGCCATAAAGTACTGATTATAGGATAATCCTGACAGCGCTACAGAACGTTGAGTAGCAGCCACTTGCTGGTATGAGAGCTCACTGTAGATTCTGCAATGCATGGAGATTTGCAGGAACCTCAACTAGGAGGATTTGTTTCTCCCCCATACTTTTTATAGATCATGCAATAATACGAATGAATCACATACATACTCGGGAATTCAAAGCAAATTTGGACATTAACACCAAACTAGCCACTAGGAAATAGTTTCCCGTTCATATAGGCTTTTCATTTGTCTATAAATGTGAAACTCCTTTTTGAATTCTAGACAATGTACATTTTAATGAATATAACAGAAAATTACCTAAGGATAGGAAAAACCTATCCTCAGGGAATGGAAAGGGTTACAGAGGTAAGAGAAGGCATAACCCTTGAAACCAAATAATGAAAAGAACTAATGTTTAGCTTCAGCCTAGGAAAGCCAGCCAGCCAGCCCCACAGAAATGACCTATTGTGTAGAGATCAATATAAGGTAATAAACTTTATTGAGAGAAGACATATGATAAAAAAAATAAATAAACACAAAAGAGTAGTATTCGTGCAACAAACAAGTGATCAAACTAAATGTGTAGAAGACAGTAGTTAAAAGACTGCTAGAATTGTACAATAAGTTTACACTATATAACTAAAAGCTCCACGAGATATAAATGTAGCAACTCCGTGTAAAAGATTAGGAGGGAGCATATGTTTCCTTCTTTGGGTACTTACTGGGAAAGCCATTGTTTTTTTCTTATATTGCTCTCATCCCCCCATTTTTCTCAGCCGTTTAGACTTTATAAGCTATCACTATACGACATGTACATACATTTCTACTGTGCTTAGTCTAATACCCCTGTATATTGTGATTTCAGATCGATCTGAAAAACACTATTTTTCTACTGAGCTCCCTGTATAATTATCCCATGTGAAGTACACAACTTACTCAGGGTATTACAGAAACCAGTCTGTCAGTCTAATCATTTACACCGAGTGTGACGAAAGCACCTTCGTCACTGGGATTTGGAGAGGCCTGCTTGCCAGCCTCTTGCCCTAGGACTATGGCTCATGTATTAGACCTGGATGCAGGACTGGGGAAAGGCTTTGGTTCGTGCCTTTTTCCTTCTACAGTCATTATATGAGACTACCGAATGGATTGTGCCTATGGTGTTCGTTTATACGAACACACTACCGAACAGCGAGACCACACACAAGTGGAGTGTGCAGCCAATTTACCACCCAGGCTGGGAGCTAAACTGCAGCCAAATTGACGGACAGCTGGGTGGCCGCCGTTCGTATAGTCAAACACGTGGCGGCGGCCATCTTGTTTAGGCGAACATGGTCAGCGGTGTTTTGCCGTCGAGTGCATGGAACTAAAATCGGACACTCGACGAGACGAACACCGCTGGGACTTCCATCCAATTTCGTCAAAAGGCACACGAACAGAGTGCCATTCGGTAGAAGTAATCTACAGAACGCCATTCACCACTACCTTAGCGCACGAAAGTCTCGGTTTGTCTATTCAACCTCTATTTTGATCGTGGAAATAGACTAACCACACAGCCCAATTATGTGGAACTATTTTGGGCATGAAAGCCATGCTTGCAGGCAGTCAAAAGAGACTTCCATAAAACTTTTGAACCCCTGCTCTGATCTGGGTGATTTTTGGATATGTTGTTCACCCAGATTTGGGCTATCCGGGGATAATATTTATGGGGGTATCTTATGTTTTAGGGTGCTTTCTGGACTTTGGGGGAAATGTGTGTTTTTCTACCTGTGGATAATTAGGTTACTGTATTAACTCCTTTAATTATATCACAGGCAGAGGGGAGGGCTTGTGTGTCATGTGCCTGTGTTCCATCAGGTCCAGGGGGTGTGCCTCTGGCCAAAGGAATTGTATAAATTGTGAGTACTGGCTTGCATTAAACAGTCCTGCTTACCCCTTCATGAAGTCTTGGCTCATGTTTGGGGGATTGGAGTACCACACTCTGGGGATTGCTATAATCACTATACTCCCCAGAGTATAATCACTAGCTCTTGTAAGAGCTTGTTCCTGTTTCGCTCTCTGGATTTAAGGAGAGGTTCACCCACTGGAAGATGAAGCCCGGTCTTGGGTCCAGGGTGGAAGACGGCGAAACCCCAACCAAGCTGTGGCGGTTCGTGGGGTTTGCGGTGGTTATGGTGTCAAGTGCGGTGCTGATGGTCCTTGGAGAGCACTAGGAGCATCATTTGATGGAGGCACCCAGTCGGAGTGGCAGAGTTGCTACATTTGTATCTCGTGGAGCGTTTAGTTTTATAGTGTAGACTTATGGTACAATTCTAGCAGTCTTTTAACTATTATCTTCTACACATTTAGTTTGATCACTCTTTTGTTGCACGAACACTATTCCTTTGTGCTTATTTTTTATCATATCTTCTCTTAATAAAGTTTATTACCTTATGTGAAGAAGTCCCTCTTTATGTTTAGTATTTCTCCCCTGTTCATTCGGTAGATGTAACTACCGAACAGAGACCACCCCCCTGGCTCGTTAAACTTCAAAGAATGCCTCAATTGAACCCTCTACCTATGCAGCCGAACGCCACGTGGCTGAGAAAACGGTGGCCATCTTTTTTTATGCGAACAAAGGCAGCGGGACTTGGTCATCGAGTGTCTGGAACTAAAATCGGACACTCGACTTCCCGAAAAACCGGTCTCAACATACGAACGCTGGAGCTTTATTTCCCAAACATCTACAAGAGCGCTGTTCGGTACTTTTGTTCATTCGAATGAGGGGAACAATCGCTGCTAAAAGCCAGGGGAAACCGTTCGTGGGATTATTTGGTTTTTGCTACTTAACGAAATAGACCGGCAAAACTACCCAAACGCATGGAACTGTTTTGGGCAGCCACCTCGCGGTTAGCCGGTCACAAAAGACTTCTATATTTTTTGAGAACCCCTGAACGATCTGGGTGAAATTTGAATATGTTGGTCATCCAGATCGGGGCTATCAGGGGACATATTGTTTGTGGGGATACCATATGCCTAAAGGAGTGTTCTGAATATTGGGGAAAACTGTAATTTTTCTGCCTGGAGATAATCAAGTTATTACTTCATCAAACTTGATTATCTCCAGGACTAGGGGAGGGAATTGTATGTTTGTGCTGGGAGTGTTTTACGTTTTTCTTGTAAATGATTGGATGTACTTTGTCCCTCCCTGTGGGATGTCCCCTTGCATGGGGACTTGCATAAAAGCCAGTGTGTGATCATTAAAAGCCAGTTCTGTTGCACTCTTCTTCTAGACTTCGGCTGATGTTTGGGGGATTCGTATGCTTTATTAAGGGAATCATCTTGTAAAGCTATTGTATTCGTATGGATTTCGTTTATTTCATCTACCGAACGGAGAGCTAGAATCACTGATGCTCTGGCGGCTCAGGAGGAAACTACCGAATGAGGATTGGATATCCTAGGTTTCTTACACCTTATATTGATCTCTACACAAGAGGTCATTTCGGTGGGGCTGGCTGGTTTTCCATTTTAATGAATAACCCTAAAACAAAACAAAAAATTACATTAAAAAAAAAGTGATGGATATTTACAGTTATAAAAGGCTTCAGAGAGGCCACATACTCCTCTCTGTAAAGGAGCAAACTACATTGGATATCCTACTCATTCAGCAGATGGTAAATAAGTAACCACTGGTAATTCTATGCTGGCTCTGGGTTTCTAGAGACTATAATATGATAGTGGCATGATATCATATGAATGTTCATTAATGGTTCAAATAGGGGTTGTATAGAATTATTATTATTACACTGACTAGGGATCAACCGATATTGATTTTTTTTAGAGCCGATACTGATAATCTGTGAACTTTAAGCCGATAGCAGATAGCTTACCGATATTCTGTACATTTACCGTAATTTTTTTTGGAAATTTTTGGGTGCCAGGTTCCTCTAGTTTTAACCCTGCAGCTGAAAACATAGCAGTTTCAGAGAAACTGCTATGTTTCATGGAGGGTTAATCCAGCCTCTAGTGTTCTTCATCACCCTCCCCCCCCCTTTCCCTGTCCCATAGTGTTATTCACACCCCCTTCCCTGTCCCATAGTGTTCCTTACCACTCCCCCTTCCCTGTCCCATAGTGTTCCTTACCGCTCCCCCTTACATAGTGTTCCTTATCACACCTTACATAGTGTTCCTTACCAACCCCACCTCCTGTCCCTTAGTGTTCTACCACTCCCGTCCCACAGTGATCCTTAACACCCTCCCCCCCAGTCCCTTAGTGCCCGACCCTCTCTCTCCCCTCCTTGGTCCCCGCTCCCAGTGTGTCTCCCGGTAGCGTGGCCGAGCGGAGCAGTGCGCACCATGGTACAGGAGATTCAGTCCGGCCGGGTACAAGAAACAAAAGTTCTAGTACCGCGGTGCGCACTGCTCTGCTCGGCCACGCTACACAGAGTGCCTGGCAGGAGGGAGTGCTGTGCCTCTTGTGTTGCCTTATGGACGCGCTGGACCACTCATTCATTATCGGTGTTGCCGGTGATTGTCGGCCGATACGATACTTACACAAAAATCTGAATATTGGCCGATAATATCGGAAAAAACGATAATCGGTCGATCCCGAATACTGACTGGACATACAATTAAGAAGAATTATTCTTAAATCACATGCCTACATAAGAAAAGTGCAAAATGTGATAATTAAATAATAAACTCTTAATAAAAGTAATAGATTAGTCTCGCCTTTTATACAAAATAAGATTAAACTTATGTGGAATCCAACCCTCTGCAGAGCTCCTGGGCTGGTCTCCACACCCCATCAACGTCACTGCCACCCTTGCAATGTCCTATCAAACGCCTCACCTACAGAACTATTTGATTGGACCTATCTCCCTGGTACAGAGTGCAAGCATGCAAGTATGGCACACACCTTGCGGAAATCCGTGCAGCCACACTGCTGGTAGTCCCATTTCTGCTGTGCTCCCTGGGACTTGGAGTATACCCAGGTGCGACTTGCGACCCCAGGCTTACTGCCTTTGCACCCCTCCATAGATAATGTCCCTGCAGTCTCACTGCTATATTCTCTGCCATTTAGGAGTTAAATAAAAAAACGTCCACGCAGTCCTAGCCACACCTCCCCTGGCTGTGACTGACAGTCTGCGTTACAGCAAAATGGTTTAATTTTCAATTAGATGTTAACTGGCTTTAGAAGTTATCTTTGTAAATTGACCTTTAATCACACACAGGATGCGCCTGCAATGTCTAGAAGGCTATTAACAGAACAGGAGAACATAAATTCTAATGAAAACAGACTGTGCAATAAAGGAAATCAAACATTAGATCTCTCTTTACAGGAAGTGTTTAGGAAGGTTGTTTAAGTAACATGCAAGGAGGTGTGACTAGAGCTGTATAAACAAAGTGATTTAACTTATAAATAGCAGAGATTTGAGGAGTGAGAGCCATAATCTAGGGTTCTGGGGTTGCTGTGTCTCTCATGCAGAGGGAATTTGCTGGCACTTTTGATCTGGACTGCCCGTACGGGTGGGACCAGTCTAATATGCTTCAGATATGTTCTCTCTATAATGGCACAAGATGAGCTAAAACCAGCATGAGATCTGAGCGGGGACCCACTGAAGGGCAGGCTATTTCAGCTGCTGTCCGTTCTCAGTACACTCTTGCGCCTTGTTTTTTGCTCTCCAGGGGGATAATCTATACACAAAATCTGCTTCATTAAGCTAAAGTTGTGTTGTTGCCTATACAGTGGGACCTCGGTTTACGAATTTAATGCGTTCTCCGGGATGTTTCGTATTGCAAAAAATTTGTAAACCGAAACACGGTTTCCCAGAGGAATGCATTGAAAACCAAGTAATGCATTCCGGAGGTGAGAAAAAAGTAAAAAAAAAAAGTATTTTATCTGTTCAAAATAAAGTGCACTTTAAAGGCATAAATACTGTACAGGGGCATGATTAATCAAGCAATAACATTTCAAACATCCAACTTTATGATTTAAAACATAGCAGACTGTTGGTAACATGGTACAGTACACTTCAACTCTACATAAATCACACGTCAACAAGCAAAACATGGAAAATTTCAAAACAATTTCAACACTTTTTGGAAGATGAGGACGAGGGCAATTGGGCAGCACTAACACAAGCAGCTTCTTCATGTCTAGGCTGCTTTTGTAGTAACCTTTCCATTGACTGCTGCCTCTTTCGCCTTTTAGGCATCCCTCGGAAAGGGGACATGATGTCTGTGTCAAAACTGCTCACAAGTCTCTGGGCTAGAGCCTTATCTGGGTGGTTCTGCTGTACAAATGTCTGTATGTTTACCCACATTTGGCATGCCTCCTTGAGTTCCGTGGAAGAGAGCTATTCCTCACTCATTTCCTCCTCCTCCTCCTCAAATGCGATCTGCTCCTCCATCGCCTCGTTCTGCAATTCTACCAGCTCCTCGGTGGTTAGGTCACGGTCATGTTCCTCCACCAGCTCGTAGACATCCTCCTCAGTCACCTCCAGGCCCATAGTCCTCCCCAAGGAAACAATTTCCTACAAAACTGTTGACTCTGGTGCAGGTGGCTGACAATGGCAATGGTGATAATCTGCAGACAGCTTACAATGTCAAAATGCTCTCTCCAAAATTCATGGTGGGTGAGGCTTGAGCGATCTGTCATCTCAAAGCATCGCCGGAAATGCTCCCTTGTGTAGAGTTTTTTAAAATTGGAGATTGGCTGGAGTAGTAGGGTGGTGTAAGGCGGAAGGAACGTGACCTTGATGAAATTAAAGTCCTCCACCAAGTCTTCCTCAAGGCCTGGAGGATGGGCAGGAGCATTGTCCATGAGCAGCATGGCCTTGAGTGGCAGGTTATTGTCCACAAGGTACTTCTTCACAGCAGGACCAAAAACTGCATTGACCCACTTCACAAACAAGAGGCGTGTGACCCAAGCCTTTGGATTACACTGCCACAAAATGCTCAACTGCTCCTTGTTTCTTGAAGGCCTGTGGGTTCTCTGAATGGTAGACAAGCAGGGGCTTGATATTAAGGTCCCCACTGGCGTTGGCGCAGAACAGGAGGGTGAGAAGGGCCTTCATTGGCTTGTGGCCAGGCAATGAGGTCTCCTCTTCTCTGATGAAGGTACGCTTTGGCATCCTCTTCCAGAAGAGTCCAGTCTCATCGCAGTTGAAGACCTGCTGAGGAAGGTAGACCTCTGAAACCATGACCTCCAGGAACTCCGTAGTAAATTCCTCAGCTGCAGCAACATCGGAACTTGCAGCCTCTCCATGCCTGACCACACTGTGGATGCCAGATCTGGTCTTGAACCTTTCAAACCACCCCCTGCTGGCCTTGAAGCCTTCTTTATCTGCTGATGTTCATGGCTGTTTAAGGAGGTCAGCGTGCAAGGCCTTGGCTTTTTCGCATATGATCGCCTTGGTAAATGAGTCCCGTGCACGCTGCTTCTGTTCAATCCAGAGCAGGAGCAACTTCTCGACCTCCTCCAGAACAGGTGGCCGTTGCTTTGAGACCATGGTGACTCCCTTGGTTGCATCTCTCCCAGTTATCTTCTCTTTCATCTATAGGATTGTACAGATTGTGGATGCACTCCTTCCATACTCTTTGGCGAGGTCAGTCAATCGCATTCCTCCTTAATGCTTCCTGATGATTTCTTTCTTGTCCTCAAGCAGAATCATCTCCTTCTTCCTCTTTCCAGCTTCCGCTACTTTCTTGGGTGCCATAACACCACCGTTACTAAGTATGCAAAAAAATAAAAAAATGCTTAACACCCACATGAGCTGGCATGGAAAACAACCCCACAATGCAAAACACACAGTAAAAGGCATGCACAGCACATGAGCTGTAACAGTCTTGAACAGCACATGAGCTGGCATGGAAACCACAGTAAAAGGTATGCATAGCACTGAGCTGTAACAGGCATGCACAGCACATGAGCTGGCATGAAAACCATAGTAAAAGCCATGCACAGCACATAAACTGGCATGGAAAATAACCCCACAATGCAAAACACACAGTACCAGGCATGCACAGCACATGAGCTGGTATAGAAATCACCACACAATGCAGAACACACAGTAAAAGGCATGCAAACAACTAAGCTCAGCTCCCTACCTTTCCACCTCTTGAGATGCACCAAAAAGGCTCCAAAACTTGCTGCAAATGGCTCCAAAACCTCTCCAACACCTCCACACTCCACACTCACGTGCCACACAGACTCCAGTATGCGGGGGGGCGGAGGTATAAACCGGGACATTTGTTTCGTATTGCGAAAAAAATTCGTAAACCGAGGCATTTTTTTTTATGGATTCTCATTCGTAAACCACATTTTTTTGTTTACCGAGGCGTTCATTAACCGAGGTTCCACTGTAGTACCTTAAACAATCACAAAAATTTTGCACACATATTCCAGTAATTAAACGTGAGATACAAACACAATAAAGTCACATCTTGGGCTCACCAGACGTCTCTTTGTCATCTCACCAGTGATCCTGCACAACAGAAAAGGCCTGAGTCCAGGGTAGAGTAATATCACATTTGATCGCAAGCCTCCTTGTGCCTTTTGTGAGCTGTTAACAGCGCTTTACAGAACTACTCTAATAATCATCACAAGCTTAATACTAAGCAATGCAGCATTACAACAAGTTTATATTTTGGATTGACCTTTGCTCTTAAAGCAGTAATCAATGATCCCCAATGGTGCAAGTATTGATAATATGCATATTGGTAATCCCTAAATCAGGTTCGTGGTAGGGGTTATGATTAACAGATAATATCGAGAGGGGGAGGGTATTTTTTTAATTTTGTCTAGATTAGACAATATTTACAGAGCTAGACAAAAACATTAGGTAGCAAAATATTCCCCATTTTCAGACCACCACTAGAGTCCAATCTTCTTAAATATGCCCATGGGTGCTGTTAGAGGAGACATGCAACAGGGCGTATCAAAAAATAAATTAAAAAAGCTGAAAATAAAGGAAAGTCAAATTCACTGTACACGGATATTTCACTGCTATGATACTCATTCTTAAAAGAAAACATTTAAACACTAGTAATGATTTCCTATGCCAGGATGTACTGGAACACGTTTGTTTTTGGTCTGCCATAAGTTTTTAGAAGACGTCATAATAAGGTGCTTAGAGCGCACCTTGATAGGATAATGAATTCTGATGCATACGCCAGTGCAATAAGGCTGTCTTAGAGTTTTGGTGACAGCAGCCAGAGGTGATGTAGAACGTAAATGGTTGTTTACTGAAGTGAGAATTCAAATCGAACTTGAAAGTTAAGGTCAAAGTAGCAGAGTTGGAAAAATTCTTTAAGTCAGCTATGCATTTAGATCGGCTACTCTGGCCTTAAATTTCATGGTTACCTTCAATGCTAACTTTAGTAAATATTAGTGCTGTTCTGACCGATGGAGCCTGGAGACCTCCAAGTTTATTTGCCTGTATCTTTCATTTTTCCACGATGTGTTTTAGTCTCTTCCTTTAAGACAGTCCTGATTCTGCCTGCCTCTGTTTTCTCAAGCTTAGTTCCTTGTTTATCCTTGTTACTGTTCGTGTGCGATGTCCGCGTTTCCTTTCTTCCTACGAAAAGACCTTTATCGCGCAACGCCTTCATCATTTGCTGCTGCTTCATCATTAATAAAATCTCACGGCTCCAGATTAAAATGTTAAACCCTAAAATAAAAAAATTAAAAAAGGAAAAATGTCAACCACAGTCGTTCTCAGGTACAGTTATCCTAAATGTGCAAGAAATATGGGTCTCGCCATATAGAAAAAAAATGCCCCAAGGAGATTTGCAGTCTGTCACCAACAGGAAAGCTAGAGGTGTGACAGCGCAAACATTCTAGATTATGGATCACTATTCAACGGGACACTCCTAAAAAAAGATTTATATATTGTAACAGTAAAATTCACAGGATAAGCATGGGCCCAGTTCTATTGTATACTATATAATTTATAGTATGAACAGGTTTATAAAAACCTGCAGTTTGCTTCTTCCTTCCTCAAGGAGATCGTCACTCCATGTGAAAGATGAACCCACACACATCCGCCCCCAGATCTTCATAATTCATGCACAAGCCCACAATGCTTAGTATGTAGAGCGCCACACAACTAACACCACTGCAATGGCCGTATTTAGAGATTTAGCAACATGGCATCAGTTGATATTGGCAAAAAATATTTTAACAACAACACTTAAAAGTACACTTTTGCCAGCATGTTTGATAGCACAATGTATGAATGAAATTCGGTTATCTTTAAAGTGATACCATGTTATTTTTGCATGACAGGTGCACGCTAATCTGAGCCTACTTGATAACGTTGAATGAACTAAAGCCTGTTGAGCTACTAATAAATGGAAGTACATTATGAAGTGTTTATGCCTTTTACTATAACAGGAAACAATTTCCTTTATCATTCCATTGCTCTCTTAAAGGGACAGTCCGTCATTCCCTCACTCAGGGCAATTTTTACTATGGTGTGTAGTGTAAAGCACACTGATCGCAACAGCAGTTTTAAGTACTGGGTGTCATCATCACTTAAAAATGTCGATGGAACGCCAAAGTGCTGTATGCGTGCATATACCTTTAAGGTGCCCATGCACACATTCAACCATGGGGGATACATTACTTTGCATAGTATTCTCTGGCTGTGCCAGGACAACCTGATATAAAATGAGAATTCGCCATTAGGCAAGTCCTATAATACTTCAATATGTACTCACCCATGCCCGATGCCAACAGGTCTCCCATAGGATTAAACTTATTGACCTGATGAAAAGAAGAACAGAAAACATTCAAGTTATAAATCTAGAGAGACACCGATCCTGCTGCTCTTTCCCCAATGCCTAAATGATGGCATTTAAAGTAAGATTAAAGGACCATTATAGGCACCAAGACCACTTCAGCTTAATGAAGTGGTCTGGGTGCCAGGTCCATCTAGGATTAACCCTTTCTGCTGTAAACATAGCAGTTTCAGAGAAACTGCTATGTTAATAATAGTGTTAACCCAGCCTCTAAAACGAGTAGCTTTTCCTGGCACTATAGTGGTCCTTTAATGTCAACTACACCACTTGCCTTGATAAAAATACCTTTATTTACCAACAGCAGCTACCTTTTTGAACTAAGACCCTAAAATACAGTCATGGGTCCCCAAGTAATTTGGTAGCCATTTACACAATAATACCTTACAGGAACACTATAGTCACCTAAATTACTTTAGCTAAATAAAGCAGTTTTAGTGTATAGAGCATTCCCCTGCAATTTCACTGCTTAATTCACTGTCATTTAGGAGTTAAATCACTTTTTTTTTGTTTATGCAGCCCTAGCCACACCTCCCCTGGCTATGATTGACAGAGCCTGCATGAAAAAAACAACTGGTTTCACTTTCAAACAGATGTAATTTACCTTAAATAATTGTATCTCAATCTCTAAATTGAACTTTAATCACATACAGGAGGCTCTTGCAGGGTCTAGCAAACTATTAACATAGCAGGGGATAAGAAAATCTTAATTAAACAGAACATGCAATAAATGAAGCCTAAATAGGGCTCTCTTTACAGGAAGTGTTTATGGAAGGCTGAGCAAGTCACATGCAGGGAGGTGTGACTAGGGTTCATAAACAAAGGTATTTAACTCCTAAATGGCAGAGGATTGAGCAGTGAGGCTGCAGGGGCATGTTCTATAAACCAAAACTGCTTCATTAAGCTAAAGTTGACCATAGTGTCCCTTTAACACTTTTCATCATTTCTATTATAAAAATCAATTGCAGTTCGAATACATGTTTCTAAATACCAATAGAACAAAGAGATCCAGGACATTCAGTAAGTACAAATTGTGCAATGGTGACAGAATGTATTTGATTAAACAAATACATACAATAGATGGAACACATCTGATGATTCTCAGTAGACGGTGGTTTGCAGCATGCAGCCCCAAACACTAAATTCTCTAACGGTAAACTTGTTGGATCTGTCCCCAAATCTTGACTACTTTTTCCTAACCAGGATCCTTTAATGGGCCGAGCAAAGCTTAGGAGCGGTTGATGTAAGGCTATCAATGAAGCATGGACTGTCACGGAAATCACTGACAAGTGGAAATAGTCGAACATGACAGGAACATGATGGTGTAAACCTCTTCTTGGGTGAAAATGGAGGCACAAAGTACGGCTGCTTATCATGGGTACTCCAGAAATGTCCTTAAGCTGTTGTTCACTGTCAGTAAAATGAAGATCTAACTTCTGAAAATCTACTTCGCTCATTGAGTCTTCAATTTGGGGGGGGGGATTTTTGGAATTTTTTCAGATTTTCATTTTACCGACAGTTTAAGGACATTTCTGGAGTACCCATCATAAGCAGCCGTACTTTGTGTCTCCATTTTCACCCAAGAAGAGGTTTACACCATCATGTTCCTGTCATGTTCGACTATTTCCACTTGTCAGTGATTTCCGTGACAGTCCATGCTTCATTGATAGCCTTACATCAACCGCTCCTAAGCTTTGCTCGGCCCATTAAAGGATCCTGGTTAGGAAAAAGTAGTCAAGATTTGGGGACAGATCCAACAAGTTTACCGTTAGAGAATTTAGTGTTTGGGGCTGCATGCTGCAAACCACCGTCTACTGAGAATCATCAGATGTGTTCCATCTATTGTATGTATTTGTTTTATATTGTTTAGAGTGGTATAAGCGGTTCCCCCTCAGGTGGTTCATAGCATTTATTGCTAACACATTTTTTCCCACATATTGTGTATTGTATTTTCTATGTTATAGAATGTATTTTATCATTTATCTTTATCATTAGCTGAAGTCCTCCATTCAAATCAACTTAAAATATGACCTAATAATAGAGTGAAGAAAATGTATATTTTCTCATTTTCTATAATCTATATTACACAACACTTGGCTCCAATATTCATAAAATGTACAAAAACAAAGAACAAAAAAAAATCTATTAAATGAGTGATGTCAATTCAGTGAGGACAACAGAAACATTATAACAAATTCAGATCTGATCTGATAGACGTATCTGGCCTATGTGTGTGCTCATTAGTCCCCCGTAAGCAAAAAATACTATCTGGTATTGTACATGGAAATACTATTATTACTATTGTGACTTGCGTAAAAAAACACAACCCTGTTAGAGTAAATGAACTTGGGAACACATAATTCTGCACCCCTTTCCCCATTGCAAGTCTGTATCACTGTCTGCATGCCACTTGCCCATACAAGATGTCCTGAGCTGCTTGGCAATGCCTTGAGTCAACATTTGGTAGCTTGGCTTCTTACCGATACAATGCCAGATGCATAAGGGTCATAAAGTTGGCAAACAATGTTCCCATTCTGACCATCCAACACGTCCACTGTACGCAATTCGTCAGCCGTGTACCCTGGGAAGTGTGGATCTGGGTATCGCCCAGCAACTATCAAGTCATACCGTGGGTGCCACGAAGCCTGTAAAATGTTTAAAGAGATTAATATTACATAACATTTCAAACTGATACCACCAGGGTTTCATTAGTAAAATTAGAATTGTCGAGAATTCAAAGTAAATTTCAAACCGAGAGCAAAAAAAGCTGAATTGTAAAAATTCTCCAAGTCAGCTCTGCTCAATTTGGCTATTTTTGTCCAAAATTTGAAATTCCATTTTGATTTCCTGACAATTTTCACTTTAGTGAGAAACCCTGTGTGTGTATGTGTCAAAAAAAACAAACAAATAGGGGTGGTGGGGCCTGACTGCAGAGCAGGGCAGACGCACGTTGCTGTTGCTCCTGCAATCTACCGCAAAAAGAATCGATTCACGCTGAGCAGAACCTGTGATCCGACTTCTTTTGACTCCTAAATGACTCGGGACACCGAGACCTACATGATGGCACCACTCCCGAGGTTATCCGCTCTGGTCCTGATCATCCAGCCATTGAGGCCTACACACATGGTGGATACGGGGGAGACGGCTGCTCTCCCGCCGCCCCAATGCACTGCAAGGCACAGCTTGAACACCGGGGCCACTCGCGCGCCCATACAGGGAAAGACCCGGCTCATATGTACACCCAAGTCTGTGGCACGCAGAAGCCGACCCAACATGAGGCCTGGGGCTGGGGAGAGGCCCCTACTTCCTAACTTCTAGCCAGCATTCTCCTGACCATCCACACTCCAACCGCCACACGACCTAACAAGGGAATTGGCTGACGCAGCGACCTGAACACTGGGCCCACACACATGACCGAGCACCCTGCACGGACTGACACCCAGAGAGAACTACACTACTACAGTTGAGTATTGCCTAATACACGGGCGGACATTGACTCTCAGTGATCCTGTCACTTGACCCAAAAACTTTACTTACCAACTCATGGCAAAGTTCAATATTAGGTGACCCCCCCCTCCCCCCAAACACCTCAGCTATGTCCTTCTCTTTTATTTCAGAAGTAAATCAGTCTGTTATTTAATCCCTTTGATGCTCTCATACCGGCAGTTGTCTTGATTATAACAACACGTGTGCCCCTAGTCAGACTATAGCATTTACAGGGGATTACTCCCCCTACACTTGGCTTATAGCTTGCAGCCTACTAAAGATTTCTTGTGAAATGCTTAAACTAAACACGCATAACATACTCTTATATAAAAGCTAGACCTAGCCTGTATCAATTAGCTTGAATGCTACTCTATAATAATAAAAAATGCCTATCTAACTCGCCAACGTAACGTCCTTTAAAAAGAAGATGTTCATGTGAGAATGTATTGATGTTACTGTTCACTATATACCCGTGCTTTATCAATGATATATTTCTCCTTTTCCTTCCTTTGTACAACACTCACAATGCTTCAATAAAATAAAGATTGACAAGAAAAACGTAACCACTAATTTTGATATATATTTCTGGCACATCAGGCTCAGAGAAAAGACGTAATCTTTGCCATCAAGTGAAGTCTGGAGTACCCGCACTGTCCAATGGGTCATAAAGTTACAACTGTGATGAAATAAGCATGCATTACGCAGAGGCACTTCGATATGCTTTTACATTTGTAAACAAAGAAACTGGCACTGATGGCTCCCCACCCATGTTTACATTAACTGTGAAAGTTACACATCCTGACTGACAGCCAAGTTTAAAGGGACATTATAGTCACCTGGACAACTACAGCTTAATGTATTTGTTCTGGTGAGCATAGTCAGTCTCTGCAGGCTTTGTTGCAGTAAAAACTGCCTATTAGAGAAAAGGCAGGGTTTACATTACAAAAACTAAAAAAAAATCTAAGGATCAATGGCACAGTAATTAAAACCCAATGCAGTCAATAAATCACCCAAGTGTTTACATTACATTACAGCCTCTGGATACCTCAAGTGGCCACTCCTCAGATGGCTACTAGAGGTGCTTCCTGGGGCAGTGCTGCACAAGACATTCAGTGTCTTCACTCTCTGCATGGAGACACTGTACTTTCCTAATAGACATGCACTGATTTGATGCTTCTCCATAAGGAGATGCTGATTGGCCAGGTCAGCGTTTGACTGTGCCCCTGGTGCACCTCCTTGGCAATCTCAGCCAATCCAATGCTTTCCTTTGGGGAAGCATTGTGATTGGCTGAGATCAAGGAAAGGTTAAAGGAACTTAACATGTATAGCTTGGAGGAAAGACGACACAGGGGGGATATGATAGAAACATTTATATACATAAAGGGAATCAACACAGCAAAGGAGGAGACTATATTTAAAAGAAGAAAAACTACCACAACAAGAGGACATAGTCTTAAATTAGAGGGGCAAAGGTTTAAAAATAATATCAGGAAGTATTACTTTACTGAGAGGGTAGTGGATGCATGGAATAGCCTTCCAGCTGAAGTGGTAGAGGTTAACACAGTAAAGGAGTTTAAGCATGCGTGGGATAGGCATAAGGCTATCCTAACTATAAGATAAGGCTAGGGACTAATGAAAGTATTTAGAAAATTGGGCAGACTAGATGGGCCGAATGGTTCTTATCTGCCGTCACATTCTAGGTTTCTATCATCACTTCTGATGAAATCAGCCAAGGAGGGAGATCTGAGGAAGAGCCAGGAGCAGCAGACTGGAATAAAGTTAAGATTTTACTATATTTAGGGGGACAAGTAGAGCCAAGGGGCTAGACGGTGATTTTAACACTACAAGGTCAGGAATACATGTTTGTGTTCCTGACCCTATAGTGTTTCTTCAATACTTCTGAATATCCAGCACATTTATACAAAACGTACTACAAATGAAAAATAGATCATTGAAAATGTTTAAATAAATTGAAGAGCTTATTCAAAATATGAAATCAGAGCCTATATTATATAATATAATCGGCTTACAATTTATTTTATTGAATCCAAAAGATTGTGTTATTGAAATATAGCATTCTTTATGGTTTTACGGTTACCTCTCCCCTTTCATAAATTAAAAGAGCCCATGCTATTTTACGGTACACAACACATAAAACGAACTAACCTTTATGGCAGTCAAATGCTGGAACTGTCTGTGTGGATGTGGAATAATGCATTGTGGTTTGCACCAATCACTCGCAGAATATACTCTAATTTCACTATGCTGGTCAGTGGTAAGAAGCTTTGCACCATCCCAGGGGCTAAAACATGCTGCATCAGAAATAAAAAGACATGATCAAACCTTTTCTCTCCTCCTCCCCCCCCCCCATCAATAGACGCCGAAAGGGGAGGACATCCCTCTTCCTGTTAAGTTTCATGTACTCAGTTAGTAGTAAGTGCATCCAAGAGACAGTACATTAATCAAAGACAACCATTGAATTAAAATTTTGCCTATATATATTTATTATTCATTTTGCAGAATAGAACTCTTGTCCTATATATGTCTGTATTTTGTATGTTGTTCTCTCTCTGCTTCCAACATTGATTTAGGGATTATTTTATACATCCTGGTTGACGTATTGGAATATTAATTAGCTTCCAGTGCTTTATTTATCTCAGCCTACACTATGTTTAACTTGATTGATGGCTGAAATCAGTCAACATATTCAAAAAAATAAAAAGAGAGAGAGAATGTAAGCATGGGTAAGCCAATTATCATTCTTATATTCCTGATGAACCAATCAAGGAAGAAAAGTATAGAAAATTGTTCCTGCCAACAATACCCTAGATATAGGACAGAGTAAGATAAGGAACAAAAAAAACAACAAAAAAACAAACTGGTGGTGACGGTTACAATTTGTAAAACGTTTTTGTATTGTTTTTAAAAGGCATTCTCTGTTGCAATGTAATTTATATAGTGAAGAAATATATTTGATGCCATTAGGGCCACTATTTTAATGATAATTCATGATAACCAGATACCATAAATGTTTATTTAAAGAGGAAATTCACTTCTCAAGTGTCCTCCAGTAGTCTTTGCAAGAGCAAAAGAAATTGTGTTTATCAACTGCTCAAAAAGATTGTCTGTGAAAACCTGTCAGAAATCGGTGTTTTTGTCAAGTCCGAGTTCAATTCTTGTGACAAAAAGAACTCTACTTTGTTTGGTTTGTGAGCTACCAGTAGAGACAAGATACTGAATATTGCAAATCATTTGTGTTTATATGTTCCCTGACTAAATATAGTGTGTGCTCCTATTTGGTAATTAAAGGAAAAATGCTGTAACATTTTAGTGTCATAGAAAATTTAAAAAGTTCAAAAAAAAAAAAAAAAGATGATGTAACGCACAGAAAAGACTTCAAAATCTGACAATACAAAATAATACTGGGAAGTGGCAACCTGTTGGTGGAATAAGCAAATCAAAATATTAAGTGTATCTGGGATTCCCTGTACAGGACTACTGTAGCAGTGACAGCAGCCTAGCTCCATAGCACCGAGTGTAAGATTGAAACTTGATTGTTACACATTACAGGGCACATATTAGCACACAGACATTTACCAGAGTTCACTCCTCGAACGTGTGGGAGGGTATTTAAGCAGCTAGACTTGTCTTTAAGGTTTCTCAAGTCCCAGAGCTTGACAGTTTGGTCCACAGAGGCAGTAGCAAACAGGAAGTCGCAACGTGGATTAAACTCTACGTGTGTCACCTTCTTCTTGTGTAGCCGTAACTTCCAGATCTAAAGACAGATGTGATCAGTCACTTGTGAATACAGTCCTGGAGGCCTTTCAACATGAAAGGATTAAACATAGGTTACAAAGCAGCACAAATATCTAGAATACTCCAAGCCAGATAGATAAAAAAAAAAAAACACCTACCTCCTTCCCACAGGTCTCCAGCAACACAACTTTGCCCACATTATCTCCCGTCAGAACACACTGCTGGCTGGCAGATACATCCAGACTGCAGTACCACATTCTAGAAAAGAACAGTCAATAAGTTAGACACATACTGACACACAATACTGCAAAACACATTTTAAAATGATTTTGTTAACATTATATGGAAAACATGCACCATAACCACTACAGACGGTTTAATAAGGGCTGCTCCCCACCTCCACTATCTCTGGTATGGAGAGCCTGAAGTAGACATGCAATGTAGCGTCAGCTTATTGGCTGAGAGCATCAGCTGATCTCTCTCAACCAGTGAGCTAAATCCTGCACTGCTGGGCTTTGCTCAGTATCGAATGGTTCGTGCAGAGAGGAGGTATGAAGCAGCGCCCAGGTGACACAAGGTTAGAAGTCAATCAGTCACTAAATTATTATTATTTGCCACATTTTCACGACAAATTTCGATTTTACAGTTCCCATAACGAACACACTCTCTTACGCCCAGTCGTCTGTGTTAGTGAACATTTGTATAGTTCGGCCTGTTAGATCCTGTAAGACAGTACTGCCAGCCACTGACGAAGTATAGATTTGATTTGCATTGAAAGGATCAAATTTCATTCCTGTAATGCACCCTCCAGCCCCAATCTGGAAAGAGAAATGAATCCTTCAGATAAGGAAGAGAATTTGGAGAGGTAACACACCTGCTACATCAGACAGTGGATTGTACGTACCCCTGGAATAAGTGTATTGTTGAGCTCCTCGTAGTCCCACAGGATGATGTCACCACCCTTTGAACCCACAGCTACAGTGTTCGGATGAGTGGGATGCCATTCGAGGGTGGTAACTCTTCTGTCAAAGGGACTATTGGTACGATACAGAATGTAAGATGCCAGAGAACGCAGGAATCGAGTCTGTAGGCACTGAGAATAGATATGTACGGCTGCTAATTAGCAAGCACTCAATATGTAGCTCCCCATTCACAAAATGGAGTAAAAAATGTACATATCTTTAGATCACATAATTTTTCTATAGTTTCCTGGCATTACATGTTACAAAATGCTCTGTTTAAGGCCTCGATTTAATAATTTTGGTAAACTTTTCAAATGATTTAATATTTTTTTTGGGGGGTGGAGGGGTGGGGGCGGAATTAAAATAATTTAATAATTTGAAATTATTACAAACGTTTTTTCCAAATATATTAAATCATTTAAAAAAAACTTTGGATTTGGTTTAGAGGTCATGCCCCTGCTGTCTCACTGCTCAATTTCCTGTCATTTAGGAATAAAATCACTTTGTTAATGCAGCCCCCTGAATGTGACTTGCACAGCCTTCCTAAACACTTTCTGTAAATAGGGATCTAAAGCTTAAACTTCCTTTATTGCATATTCTGTTTAATTTAGAATTTCCTAACTCCCACTCACAGCGCTGCCTGCAATTGAAGCTAATTATGCCTGTTGCCAGCGTGCACTGCGTACAGACGACGGATGTAATATTTGCACAGTACCAACATAAGGCATTCCAGAACAAAGTTCTAGTATGCTTAAGTCAAGTGTCCAGGGGGTGCAACCTGACACAGTCTTAAACAGGTTCTTCGTTTGCAGGCAGAGCTGTGAGTGCACCTGCAAGTAGGAGCCCTTTGAACAATACGTACATTATCTAGTGATGTGCCGCAATATAAATATTTCACCTCCTTCCCAAATGACAGCCTAAACCCTACATTATACATGTCCCTTCCACTCTAATTCCCTCCTCCTTGTCCACCTCCTGGCAGTGCACCCTCCCTGGCTCTGATTGATGCATTGCATCACTTGCCACGCATACACCATAAGATCAATCAATGCGTCAGTGAGAAGCAATTGATTGGACCACAAGTTAGATGAAGATGACGCTGCGCGACAACAAAGAAAGTGGAAACGACTGGAGAGAATATAGCACAGCACTGGATTCCAGGTAATTTGTCAAGTATTTTTAAAGTTTATTCTGGCTAAAATTCAGGGGAGGACCTAAAGAAATATACAGAATAGAAATATTAAAACAAGAATAAGGGACCTAAAAAAGTAACTGGAGCAACCCTTTAATGTCTGTAAAGCAACTGGCCAAAGTCACACAAGTTTAGAGAGAACATTATTAAATCATCGGACAGGGTCATACGCAATTTAAAGGAGTCAGGAATTTTTTATTAGTAACTTACCTTTGCTCGAACATTTCCCCCTAACGTACTCCGGTACAGATAATGGACAATGCTTTTCTTTCTGTCTCCATGCGTAGTCTGTATGCTTCCATTATGTCCATCTGTGTGATAAATTGTCAAATCACTACACAGACCGAATACGGTAGAAAGTCATTGCTAAAGTACTTGCAGACTTTTCTAGACAAGCAATTGACACTTTGAAATTTGGAAATGAAGGGCTGTTGTAGAGGAGGAGGAGGTAGTGAAGAAAAGATAAAGCAATGTTAGGAAATTTCAGCATAGAAAGGCAAAACTCAAACAATAAAAATCAGACCTTTTTAGGGATGTGAATAGAATGAAAGCTTGTCTACTTAGTTTAGTGTTACAAAAAATGACTTTAAGCTGAGAAACTATTGCTGCCATAGAATTATCATAAGAAAGCTAAATTTCAACAACAATAGTGTTGGATACCACTGCATTAGTGGGTAGTGAGTGATATGTTTATTACCCATAATTCATTACTGATAGAAGAGCATATCGGTAACATTCATAAAGTACTGACATGATTGAGCAAGTACCGCAGGCATTAGATTGGACATTTGACCTTTCAAGATGGCTTGGTGGTTTAGGCAGTATGATTGTGAATGAGTTCATGTTTGGTGGTGCGCTTGGTCTTATTCTCTGTATTCTAGTGTTCGGTTTCAAACTCTCGTTTAGAAGCTGTGTGCACAAGACGAACTTGGCAGTGTAATGTCTCTGGAAAAAAATCAAACCTCTTCTCACACAAGTACACTGGAGACATGGGATTCTCAAGTTTGTCTGCTATCCGACTGAATGATCTGGATTTAAAAGGGACACTTCACTGCCAAAATACAAAATAAAATCACTGTTTAGTGGATATACTCCAAAGGAAAAACACATGTATTCAATTAGGCCTTTTGTTCATTGGGGGGATATCTAAAAACGGCTTGTAAAAGCTAGAGATCTCTTGTCTGCTGCCTTTGCAAGCCCTCCCCTTCAAACCTTTCTTTTCCAAGCCAGTTTCGTGAATGGGGTGTCATGGATTGGCGGAGAGTGCCAGATGACTGCTCTCAGCCAATCAGTGCTTCCTATAAGTTGGATAACAGAAGCCGGAAGCTGCCAGGGAAGGAGCTGAGACCAGCGTTGGAAGCAACTAAGGAGTTAAACCATTTGAAAACAGTTTAACCCTTAAGGTAAGAGTGCCTCCAGGGGCCTGATGGCACCATAACAACGTCCCTTAGATTAAGTTGTTTTGGTACCTATATACACATATTGTTTAGCATACCTCCTGCCACCTCTTCTGACATGGATACATTATGCAACATTTCTATTCCATATTATATGTTTTACGATTTTCTTTTATATACTGCTTTAGCATAACCTATATTATTTTTTCTAGTTTTTGTAGCCCTTCCCCAAAACACACCTGCTTAATAAATGCTATGTACAGATGTTTTTTTTTTCCTTTTAAATCTTCTCCTCAAAGGGGACATAACTATTATAAAGGAGGAGACTATATTTAAAAGAAGAAAAACTACCACAACAAGAGGACATAGTCTTAAATTAGAGGGACAAAGGTTTAAAAATAATTTCCGGAAGTATTACTTTACTGAGAGGGTAGTGGATGCATGGAATAGCCTTCCAGCTGAAGTGGTAGAGGTTAACACAGTAAAGGAGTTTAAGCATGCGTGGGATAGACATAAGGCTATCCTAACTATAAGATAAGGCTAGGGACTAATGAAAGTATTTAGAAAATTGGGCAGACTAGATGGACCGAATGGTTCTTATCTGCCGTCACATTTTATGTTTCTATTAATTTAGTATCTCCCTTTCCATTGTGATTATTACTGCCTTTGCTCAAATAACCCCTTTATAAGATATATACACGTACATATATTGATTGAGTCAAACACGGAGTCTATAGGCAGGCCCCTCTCAGCTATTCCATTTCAATTTGATATGCACTTGGCTCCTTTTGAAAGCGGTCACTAGTATTTAAGGTGGAATCACGATATTTTATATATTACATTTATAATTTGATGGACATTATAAATGTTAAGTTTTAGTGTATCTATTGGGTTGGATAACTTGTGCGTTCCTTTTTGGAGATTTTGCTCTGATTAACTGCTGCCTCTTGAGTTAAGGTCCACTGAGCTAAACAACCAGCAAGCAACAGGAACGGTTGTTTGACAGCTGGGGGGCAGGGGGGCTGTAAAAAGTTAATTTATAAAAGTGTCAATTACTTATTCGAATCTGCACTTTTTTGCCAAATGAAGGGTGGAAAGAAAGGAAACACTCTTTACACATAAAGCACTCTGGGGTCATGAGTGTGACTTTAATCATATCAATTAAAATCGAGGATTTTTACTTTCTTTAGTATGGATTTCAGGAATGACACGACCCTTGCGTGGGCTAACATAATGTCGGAAGAGGGACTATGGGCAAAAGGAGGTTTGTTTGATTACTAGGAGAGGGTGTGCATATAGTTAGAGGTGTCCTCCTCATCCTTGGTTGGCCAAAGAACCAAAAAGATGTATTTTTACCTGCTACAAATGGGTATAATCAATCATGTGCATCATTGTTAGTTGTTTATGTAGAAACTTTATTATTCAAAAAACCTACAGTGGTGCGGTCTGACTTTCTATTAAGCCCAACAATCACCAACACTGATAGACAAGAATTAGTACATTTCACGTGTAATATTCAAGTGCTAAGATTCCGAGACATGTTATAGAAGTAATGGCCAAATGATTTTATATTGTGCCAACGACTGCATAATATATTGGAAGGACATACGTTTGCTGCACTCTGGGGTATCTTGCAGAACATTTTTCTTCTTATATTTTTTGGGATCTTGGATAGTATTTTCCAGCTCTCGTTTTCGTTTTCCAGTCACATTGCCTTTTTTTTCTTCCTCATTGACAGGCAGCTCTAGGGCTCTCCTGACTCTTGCCACCTTTTTGGGGGGCATCTAAGAGTGAAAAAAGGCATACAAATCAATGTGTCAGAACCTGTAAAGATGCAATGATGAGATAGCATTAGGATATTAGTGTACATTAATTTAAAGAAGCTGGACAGCCCATCCCCCTTTTTCGCACAAGGCATCTACTGCAAAAGTGCATGATGAGAAATAATGGTGCATGCAAAACGTACAATATGCATGTGTCAGACGAAAAAAAAATAAAAAAAAATAAAAACTATCTAGCACAGGAAGAGGAAGAGGGAACCCCGTGACGTGTCTGATTGGTGAACTGTAAAATACTGTCTGCAATGTTAGAAATGTTCCACTGTAAGAGAGCTAAGAATAACAGCTCAGGAGTCACCTTTAATGACACTTGCTATAAAAGTATTACAAATTCTGGATTAAAACGCACTGTGAGGATATACATATAGAGGACTCAACCTTCCAGTGAAAATACACCTCTTGTATAGGGAAATCAAAACTAAGGGAATAGATGTAGTGTGCTTGCAAGAGATACACTTTATGACAGGGACCCACCCAGACATACTGCAACAGGACTATCCGTTCCAATTCCACGCAACCCTCCCCCAACAAAACTAGGGGCACCTTGATATTGATCAGCAAGAAGGTGGCTTTTCTCCTACACTCCCAACACATAGACCCAGACGGCATGTACACTATTATTGTCGGCATGCTTAACGATATGCAATATACTATAGATACGCACACAAATCAGCGGAATTTTCTCCACAAAATCATATTAAAACTACAATCTATCCAACAAGGCACCACAATTATATGTGGAGACCTTAAAAATATGTGTTCGACCCCGCAATAGACACGACTCTGGCCTCAGCTAGAGTTCGCAATGCTCCACTCAAAAAACAAGGCAAAGCACTGAGAAAGCTCATTCACGATTACCACCTGTATGACGTGCGGAGGGCCACCCATGTGGGGGTACACCTTCTCCTCAGTCCATAATACATACTCTCGTATTGATGGCTTGTCTCTGGTCCGGGCATGAACCAAATAAACCAATGCGAGACAGGACAGGTCACTTGGTCCGACCATGCCTCAGTTGTTCTGACGCTAAAGGACCTCTATGATCCTACCCACAGGAGCCCATGGTGACTAAACACAGCACTTATGAGGGACAGACGCTTTACTAAAGACCTAGAAGCGTCAGTAACGCAATATTTCAAAGCTAATGACAGCGCAGACGTTACCCGAAATATTCAATGGCAAGCCCACAAACCCATGATTAGGGGATTTTTAATACGACGAGCATCCTTTTTAAAAAAGAAATCTCAAGCACAATTGTTAAAATATCAAACAGACCTACATCGTGTAACAACACAAAATCAAATCACACCAAACGAGGCGCTGAAAAAACAAATCACACAATTAACGCAACGCATTCATCAATTGTCTCTGGATAAGGTAGGCTTTGACTTAAAAAAACTTAAAGCCCTGAACTACACGCAAGGCAATAAAGCAGGCAAATTATTAGCCCAAAGAACAAAATAGTAGCACCCAAGGACATTAGCAACGCATTTGCAAAATACGAGTCACTTTATAATCTCAGGGATGACCCAACTGTACCTCAACCCCAGGAACCCAAAATAGCCGCCTTCCTAGATAAGGTCCACTTGCCCAAATTCACCCCCATGCAACAAGCGTACCTCTCGGCCCCAATTACGAGATTGGAGGCGTTGAAAGCTATTGCCTTACTGCCCGCAGAGAAGGCTCCAAGTCCGGACGGCTTTGCTAATTGTTACTATTTTCGTGCATGTCCACCACATGTGCACGTAGGTGCCCCACTAACCGCAGCCCTGCCAGCAGAGATCGGTAGCCCCCGTGCCCATGCGGTATAATGTGGTGGGTGTGGTGTACCAGCGCATCATTGTTTTGATCGCTTGCTCCTGGAGCCCAACACTGATGGAAACTTTGGAGGCCGCTTCCCATATGTCCAGCCACAACCCACTCTTCTGCACCTCCCACCGGTCCATGTAGGTCAAATTGCCCCATTCTGCGAATTCGGAACTAATCTTGTTGTATATGGTGGTTATGAGGCCTTTGCTTCCCAGTTCCTGGTCGCAGAGCCTTTCAAATTAATGTTGGGGTTCGCTCTGCCGCCACTCTTACATTGCTTCGTGTCGCGAAGTCTCGCGATTGCAGGTATCGGAAAAAGTCCCTTGGTGCTAAGGGGTGGTGTAGCGAGAGTTCTTTGAAGGAAACAAACGAGTGGTATAGGTGTTTGAACCTCTGCAGGCCAGCTTTCTCTGGGCCAGCGAAGTCCCTCGCTTGCATGCCAGTGGGAAGGCCCTATTTCTCAGGTAGGAGGTCATAGGGGATGGGTCCGAAGTTAGGGCAAGCTTTTTCTTAACTCTGTCCCAGTAAGGCCGGGCAGTCAGTTCTAGGTAGAGCTCTGTGTTGTTTGTCCATCCATATGTAGAACTGCGGGAGATCTGCTCCCATTAGTCCTGACTCTAGATCAACCCACCTTCTCTCGTCAGGGGGTGAGTGCCACAGGGCAATCTCAGGAAACAAGCTTTTATGGCACACAAGGCCACACTACCTGTTCCTCGCACTTGGAGATTATGAGAAAACTCTTATATATAGATGGTACATGGTCCCGGACAAATAATCTAGAATTTACCCAGGGGCCAAGGGGGAACGCTGGAGAGGGTGTGCAGACCAGGGGACAATGTATCACATCTGGTGGTCGTGCCCGGTTCTCGCTCTCTATTGGGAAATGGTGGAAGAAGTCATTGCCAATATACTAGGACAACCATACAAGCTGACACCAGATCAAGGTATCCTCTTTATGCACCTCACCTCTAGGCCCAGAATAGAGAGACAATTAATATTTCAAGTACTCATACCAGCAGTTACACTTATTGCTAGAGGGTGGAAACAGCCTCACCCGCCAACAAAACAAACTCTTATTAACCAAGTATCACTGAATTGAGAATATGAGTGGATGGCTAGCAAATTTATCAAACCAAACCCCACAGCAGTAGAGGCCAACCATAGATGGGCTGCATTTCTGGAAAAGCACACATAGCTGTATTAAACTCAAGCGAGAGTGCTCACACTGGAATGACTAAGGGTACAACTACATATCGGAGTCCTCATGAACAACCGAGACCAATCCACACAGTACCAAGGCCCAAAAGAATAAGTGGAACCACCCTTCCGCAAGACATGGCTTTAGATTGAGTACAGAACGACTCTGTGCCTCGTTAGAGCATGTTCACACCCATAGCAGTTTATTTACATTTTTTTTCTCTTTTGTTTATTAGGGGTTGTTATACTGTTTTAATTTTAACCTAGACACGATAGTGTTCAAAAGGTCAGAACCCTACCTATATCACTCGACACACATACAGTCTCGCACCTCTAATGCAGTGTGCCACCAGATACACAGCGCCCACAGGGAGGAGAGACTGCCGAACTGTTCGAGTACCTGAGTGCCCACAGCACTATGGAACTTTCTGCTGCATGGCAGGTGCATGCCCTTGGGGGAAGGAGGGGATTTGTCACACGGGGGGCACTGGAAGGGCCTAGGAGTGAACAACCCATTCAGCATATATAGGCATACCTGGTACAAGTCTGTACAGAATCCACAGCAGAGGGATGCTAAACCAGATAACACCCAGGAAGCCATTGGCCCCGCGCTGGAGGGTCCCCTCGCATTGAGCGCTACAACACCCCCTCCAGAGAAGGGACTCACTTTCCTATGTTCTATGGACCCAGTATTACAGAGTCCTCGAACGAACATGTTGATTCTATTGGCTCCCCTTTCCCACCCCCCCCTTTTTGTTTATCTCCTCACTCTTTCCATCCCCTCTCAATTTTCTATTTTACAAGGTACCACTGCTTGATGATTATTAAGCCAGCACCCAACCGCTGAGATCCTAGAAGATGCACTGCAGTGCAAAGTATGTGGACTGGTGACGACATTCTTGCATGCATAAATCTTTATAATCAACAATGTGCGATGAATATTACATTTATATAAATCAGTTTAAAAACGAATACGCTGTTTAGGTTATAGAGCCCTCATGAGCTAAAGTTTAATATTGATTATTATTGCTCACTTCATAGTTACAGCCATAGGATACTCAATACTTGTGAAACGCTAATAACTGTTATTCCTATGTAAAGCCAAATTAGGCCCCTGTGCAAACCTAGGCTAAAGAGAAACCATACACTTAAATATATAACTGAGCTGTTTACACAACATATATACATGCGTATGTACCTATTAAACGCCTACCCCATTCCTTAGCCCTCCATAGATCGCACTTTCCCTAGGTACCACACGCAGCCCTCTGCTTTGCTCTTAAAGATATAACGCGATATACACGATGATAACTAAGACGTAAGCATACTAACTGTATTAGACTCCACTATGCCTATAATACCTGACGTTTATGATCCTGAGCGAACGCCTGTCTAGGTCACAATAACTGAGCACAATAGGTTTATGTGTTTAGAAAACCACGCCTGTCATACAATGCCTCTCCATGACTAAGCTAAGCCTCAGCGCAGGCAATTTCAACGTTAATGTCATTAATGTACCTGACTTTCAGTTCTGCTTAAAATTTCATTTTTATGATTCCCCACGTTAGCGTACACACGCACAGTTAAAATGTTATGTTGACATCCGCCACTATCATAAATGTGCCTCTGCGTAGGCAAACTTCATTTTCCTATTATATCCACAATGTTGCGACATATTCTGCACTATAAAATAAAAAAAAACAAAAAAAAAACATTTAAAACAAATGTGGAACACTATAGATAACAGAACTGTATAGGACCAGTTAAATAAAATAAATAATGCGAGATGTCGCACAATCCTCACCCTTTTCTCCATCACAGCATTAATACATTATCAAGCAATTAAAGGACCACTATAGGCACCCAGACCACTTCAGCTCAATAAAGTGGTCTGGGTGCCAGGTTCATCTAGGATTAACCCTGCCTGCTGTAAACATAGCAGTTTCAGAGAAACTGCTATGTTTACTTTAGGGTTAATCCAGCATCTAGTGGCTGTCTCATTGACAGCCGCTAGAGGCGCTTCCGCACTTCTCACTGTGATTTTCATAGTGAGAAAACGCCAGCATCCATAGGAAATCATTGAAAATGCTTTCCTATGAGACTTGCTGAATGCGCGCGCGGCTCTTGCTGCACATGCGCATTCAGCCGATGATGATAACAAGGAGGAGGAGAGTCCCCAGCGCCGAGGGAGCCCGGCGCTGGAAAAAAGGTAAGATTTAACCCCTTACACCCCCTAGAGCCCGGCGGGAGGGGGACCCAAGGACCCTATAGAGCCAGGAAAACGAGTATATATAATGGTCCTTTACTACATTATCAATTAATGCTTTAGGACCACAATGTAAAAGGATAAATAAAATGACAGCACATCTCTAGGATCACATAGCCACAAAACATTGTGTAACCAGCATTGTGTGTCATGGCAGATACCGGCATTGTGATACCAGCATTGTGTATCATGGCAGATACCGGCATTGTGTATCATGGCAGATACCGGCATTGTGAAACCAGCATTGTGTGTCATGGCAGATACCGGCATTGTGATACCAGCATTGTGTATCATGGAAGATACCAGCATTGTGTATCATGGCAGATACCGGCATTGTGAAACCAGCATTGTGTGTCATGGCAGATACCGGCATTGTGATACCAGCATTATGTATCATGGCAGATACCAGCATTGTGTATTATGGCAGATACCAGCATTGTGTATCATGGCAGATACCGGCATTGTGTATCATGGCAGATACCGGCATTGTGTATTATGGTAGATACCGGCATTGTGATACCAGCACTGTGTATCATGGCAGATACCGGCATTGTGTATCATGACAGATACCGGCATTGTGTATTATGGTAGATACCGGCATTGTGATACCAGCATTGTGTGTCATGGCAGATATTATTGTGATACATTGTGTATTATCATTGTGATACATTGTGTATTACTATTGTGATACATAGTGTATTATTATTGTGATACATTGTGTATGATTGTGTGTTGTTATTGTGATACATTGTGTATTATTATTGTGATACATTGGGTATTATTATTGTGATACATGGTGTATTATTATTGTGATACATTGTGTAATATTATTATTGTGATACATTGTGTGTTATTATTGTGATACATTGTGTGTTGTTATTGTGATACATTGTGTATTATTATTGTGATACATTGGGTATTATTATTGTGATACATTGTGTATTATTGTGATACATTGTGTGTTATTGTGATACATTGTGTATCATTGTGATACATTGTGTATCATTGTGATACATTGTGTATCATTGTGTATTATTATTCTGATACCAGCATCGTGTATTATTATTGTGATACATTGTGTGTTATTATTGTGATACATTGTGTATTATTATTATTGTGATACACTGTGTGTTATTGTGATACATTGTGTATTATTATTGTGATACATTGTGTGTTATTATTGTGATACATTGTGTGTGTTATTATTGTGATACGTTGTGTTATTATTGTGATACATTGTGTATTATTGTGATATATTGTGTGTTATTATTGTGATACATTGTGTATTATTGTGATACTTTGTGTGTTATTATTATTGTGATACATTGTGTTATTATTATTCTGATACATTGTGTATTATTATTATTGTGATACATTGTGTGTTATTATTATTGTGATATATTGTGTATTATTATTGTGATACAGTGTGTGTTATTATTATTGGGATACATTGTGTATTATTGTGATACATTGTGTGTTATTATTGTGATACATTGTGTGTTATTGTGTTATTATTGTGATACATTGTGTGCTATTGTGTTATTATTGTGGTACATTGTGTATTATTATCATTATTATTATTGTGATACATTGTGTATTATTATTATTATTGTGTATTATTGTAATACATTGTGTATTATTATTGTGATACATAGTGTATTATTATTGTGATACATTGTGTATGATTGTGTGTTGTTATTGTGATACATTGTGTATTATTATTGTGATACATTGGGTATTATTAATGTGATACATGGTGTATTATTATTGTGATACATTGTGTAATATTATTATTGTGATACATTGTGTGTTATTATTGTGATACATTGTGTGTTGTTATTGTGATACATTGTGTATTATTATTGTGATACATTGGGTATTATTATTGTGATACATTGGGTATTATTGTGATACATTGTGTGTTATTGTGATACATTGTGTATCATTGTGATACATTGTGTATCATTGTGTATTATTATTGTGATACCAGCATCGTGTATTATTATTGTGATACATTGTGTGTTATTATTGTGATACATTGTGTATTATTATTATTGTGATACACTGTGTGTTATTGTGATACAGTGTGTATTATTATTCTGATACATTGTGTTATTATTGTGATACATTGTGTGTTATTATTGTGATACATTGTGTGTGTTATTATTGTGATACATTGTGTTATTATTATTCTGATACATTGTGTATTATTATTATTGTGATACATTGTGTGTTATTATTATTGTGATATAATGTGTATTATTATTGTGATACAGTGTGTGTTATTATTATTGGGATACATTGTGTATTATTGTGATACATTGTGTGTTATTATTGTGATACATTGTGTGTTATTGTGTTATTATTGTGATACATTGTGTGCTATTGTGTTATTATTGTGGTACATTGTGTATTATTATCATTATTATTATTGTGATACATTGTGTATTATTATTATTATTGTGTATTATTGTGATACATTGTGTATTATTGTGATACATTGTGTATTATTATTGTAATACATTGTGTGTTATTGTGATACATTGTGTATTATTGTGTGTTATTGTGATACATTGTGTGTTATTGTGATACACTGTATTATTGTGATACATTGTGTTATTGTGTGTTGTGATACATTGTGTATTATTGTGTGTTATTCTGATACATTGTGTATTATTGTGATACATTGTGTTATTATTATTGTGATACATTGTGTTGTTATTATTGTGGTACATTGTGTATTATTGTGATAGATTGTGTATTATTGTGATACATTGTGTATTATTATTGTGACACATTGTGTATTATTATTGTGATACATTGTGTGTTATTATTGTGATACATTGCGTATTATTATTGTGATACATTGTGTATTGTTGTGATACATTGTGTGTTATTATTATTGTGATACATTGTGTGTTATTAATGTGATACATTGTGTGCTATTGTGTTATTATTGTGATACATTGTGTATTATTATCATTATTATTATTGTGATACATTGTGTATTATTATTGTGATACATTGTGTATTATTGTGTGTTATTGTGATACATTGTGTATTATTATTATAGTGATACATTGTGTTATTGTGATACATTGTGTATTATTATTGTGTGTTATTGTGATACATTGTGTGTTATTGTGATACACTGTGTATTATTGTGATACATTGTGTTATTGTGTGTTGATACATTGTGTATTATTGTGTGTTATTGTGATACATTGTGTATTATTGTGTTATTATTATGATACATTGTGTATTATTATTATTATTATTGTGATACATTGTGTGTTGTTGTTATTATTATTGTGATACATTGTGTGTTATTATGGTGATACATTGTGTGTTATTATTGTGATACATTGTGTAGTATTATTATTATTGTGTATTGTTGTGATACATTGTGTATTATTGTGTGTTATTGTGATACATTGTGTATTACTATTGTGATACATTGTGTGTTATTGTGATACATTGTGTATTATTATTATGTGTTATTGTGATACATTGTGTGTTATTGTGTATTATTGTGATACATTGTGTTTTATTGTGATACATTGTGTTATTTTGTGTTGTGATATATTGTGTATTATTGTGATACATTGCGTGTTATTGTGATACATTGTGATACATTGTGTTTTATTATTGTGATACATTGTGTGTTGTTATTATTGTGATACATTGTGTGTTATTGTAATACATTGTGTTTTAATATTATTGTGATACATTGTGTGTTATTGTGATACATTGTGTGTTATTATTGTGATACACTGTGTTATTATTGTGATACGTTGTGTGTTATTATTATTGTGATACATTGTGTGTTATTATTGTGATACGTTGTGTTATTATTATTGTGATACATTGTGTGTTATTATTGTGATACATTGTGTGTTATTATTATTGTGATACATTGTGTATTGTTATTGTTACACAGTGTGTATTGTTATTGTGATACAGTGTGTATTGTTATTGTGATACATTGTGTGTTATTATTGTGATACATTGTGTATTATTATTGTGATACATTGTTATTGTTATACATTGTGTTATTATTATTATTGGGATACATTGTGTATTATTATTATTGTGATATATTGTGTGTTATTATTGGGATACATTGTGTTATTATTGTGATACATTGTTTATTATTATTATTGTGATACATTGTGTATTATTATTGTGATACATTGTGTGTTATTATTGTGATACATTGTGTTATTATTATTACTGTGATACATTGTGTATTGTTATTGTGATACATTGTGTATTGTTATTGTTACACAGTGTGTATTGTTATTGTGATACAGTGTGTATTGTTATTGTGATACATTGTGTGTTATTATTGTGATACATTGTTATTGTTATACATTGTGTTATTATTATTATTGGGATACATTGTGTATTATTATTATTGGGATACATTGTGTGTTATTATTATTGTGATACATTGTGTTATTATTATTGTGATACATTGTGTGTTATTATTATTGTGATACATTGTGTTATTATTATTGTGATACATTGTGTGTTATTATTGTTATACATTGTGTTATTATTATTATTGTGATACATTGTGTTTTATTATTATTGTGATACATTGTGTTATTATTATTACTGTGATACATTGTGTATTATTATTATTGTGATACATTGTGTGTTATTATTATTGTGATACATTGTGTATTATTATTGTGATACATTGTGTATTATTATTATTGTGATACATTGTGTGTTATTGTTATTGGGATACATTGTGTGTTATTATTATTGGGATACATTGTGTATTATTATTATTGTGATACATTGTGTGTTATTATTATTGTGATACATTGTGTATTGTTATTGTGATACATTGTGTATTGTTATTGTTACACAGTGTGTATTGTTATTGTGATACAGTGTGTATTGTTATTGTGATACATTGTGTGTTATTATTGTGATACATTGTTATTGTTATACATTGTGTTATTATTATTATTGGGATACATTGTGTATTATTATTATTGTGATACATTGTGTGTTATTATTATTGTGATACATTGTGTTATTATTGTGATACATTGTGTGTTATTATTATTGTGATACATTGTGTTATTATTATTGTGATACATTGTGTGTTATTATTGTGATACATTGTGTATTATTATTGTGATACATTGTGTTTTATTATTATTGTGATACATTGTGTTATTATTATTACTGTGATACATTGTGTATTATTATTATTGTGATACATTGTGTGTTATTATTATTGTGATACATTGTGTATTATTATTGTGATACATTGTGTATTATTATTATTGTGATACATTGTGTGTTATTGTTATTGGGATACATTGTGTGTTATTATTATTGGGATACATTGTGTTATTATTATTGTGATACATTGTGTGTTATTATTATTGTGATACATTGTGTGTTATTGTGATACATTGTGTGTTATTATTATTGTGATACATTGTGTGTTATTGTGATACATTGTGTGTTATTATTGTGATACATTGTGTATTATTATTGTGATACATTGTTTGTTATTGTTATACATTGTGTTATTATTATTATTGTGATACATTGTGTGTTATTGTGATACATTGTGTGTTATTATTGTGATACATTGTGTGTTATTATTGTGATACATTGTGTATTATTATTGTGATACATTGTTTGTTATTGTTATACATTGTGTTATTATTATTATTGTGATACATTGTGTATTATTATTATTGTGATACATTGTGTGTTATTATTATTGTGATACATTGTGTGTTATTGTGATACATTGTGTGTTATTATTATTGTGATACAGTGTGTGTTATTGTTATTATTATCTGTGTGTTATACATGTCGCAGTCTGTCCTGCAGTATCAGAGAGCCAGCTGTTCCCAGTGCCCGCACTCAGGGCTGAGGGGGAGTGTCAGTGCGGCTCACGGAGCGGGTGTGAAGGCCGACTTACCGGTCCGCCAGCGGGGGGGGTTATATGGCTATGGTGGGCCGGCCGCACAGCGCGCACCGCCGGACAGGAACTAAGGCTTCAGCTTCCGGTTTCCGGGTGTGCACCTTCCTAACAGTCCGGCCGGATAGCAATCTGACGGGGTATACCAAACTGATAGAACACCTGCCCCCGCTGCAATACGGGTAAGTAAATAACTATGGGACACTATGGGACGGGGAGGGGGAGAGGGAGAGGGAGAGGGAGAACACTATGGGACGGGGGAGGAGGGAGACTATGGGAGAGGGGAGAACACTATGGGACGGGGGAGGGGAGGACACTATGGGATGGGGGGAGAATACTATGGGAGGGGGAGGACACTATGGGGAGGGGGGAGGAGACTATGGGACGGGGAAAGAGGGAGACTATATGACGGGGGGGAGAACACTATGGGATAGGGGAGGAGGGAGACCATGGGACGGGGGGGAGACCACTATGGGACGGGGAGGAAGACTACTCATGGGACGGAGTGGGGGAGACCAAGGGACGGGAGAACATGGACCTACAGGGAACACCACCATGGGATCTGGGAGAATGTCAAGGGGGAGGGGAGGGACACTATGGGACGGGAGTGGGGGAGAACACTATGGGACGGAGGGGGGAGGACACTATGGGACGTGTGGAGGCTCATGGGAGGGAGGGAGGGTCACTATGGGATCTGGGGAGCAACACTATGGGACCTGGTGGGAGGGGAGAAACACTATGGGACAGGGGAGCACTGGCGGGACCCAGGAGGGGGGGAGAAACACCATGGGAGCCCAAGGGAGGGGAGAACACTCATGGGACCCAGGGAGGGGAGAAACACTATGGGACCCAGGGAGGGGGAGCCAAGAATACTGGCGTGGAACAGGGGAGTGGGGTTAGCAACACTGGCTGGGACAGAGGGAGGGGAGCAAAAGAACACTATGCAGGGACAAGGGAGTGGAGGGGGCAAAGAACACCACTGACTAGGAGGGGGCAGAACACCACACTAGGGAGGAGGGGTTAACAAACACTGGACTAGGGGAGGAGGGGGGGGGGGCAAAAGAACACCATTGGACAGGAGGAGGGGGGGCAAATGGGAACACATTGGACAAGGGAGGGCAAAGAAACACTGGCTGGACAAGGGGAGAGGGCCAAAGAACACTACTGGACAAGGGAGGAGGGGGCAGAACACGGGACAAGGAGTGAGGGGCTAGCTGAACACTGGACAACAGTGGACAAAACACTAATGGGACAAGGGGTTGGGGAGCAGCTCTGGGACAAGGGAGGTGGGGGAGAACACTGGGACAAGGGGAGGTGGGGAGAACACTGGGACAAGGGGAGGTGGGGAGAACACTATGGGACAAGGGGAGGTGGGGAGAACACTGTGGGACAAGGGGAGGTGGGGAGAACACTGTGGGACAAGGGGAGGTGGGGAGAACACTATGGGACGAGGGGAGGTGGGGAGAACACTATGGGACGAGGGGAGGTGGGGAGAACACTATGGGACGAGGGGAGGTGGGGAGAACACTATGGGACGAGGGGAGGTGGGGAGAACACTATGGGACCTACTGAATGGTTCTTCTATTATGGGGAGGGAATGAAGTTTCGCCTTGTACCGGTCTCCTCTCTTCCCTACTCTTTGACAAGTATCACAAGTTTGGCAATTCTGCCGGATGTCTTTGGAGACGCCTGGCCAGAAGAAATTTTGTGTCAAACTGTGCTTGGTCCTACTGACGCCTAAATGCCCGGCCAGGGGGATGTCGTGTGCAATACCTAGTAATTCCTGCCTATACTTTTTAGGAACGATTAATTGTTTAATGGACATGGGAATCGACTCTGCTACTACCTTTTCTGCTAATCTGTACAGCAACCCTTTCTCCCAAGCATATCTCTCCCCCTCCAACCCAGCCTGATTCTGCGCTACCCTATCTCGGTACACTTGTAAAGATGGGTCGGTGGCTACCTCACTACCAAATTCTAAGGGTTGTGCCCAGGGGACAATAGGGGGTGCGTGACTGTTGCTTACCTGAGCCTCAGAGTGGTCGGAGGATGCGGTGGTGCGAGCCTGCTGCCGGGTAACGACTGGTAGCGCTTCCTGCGCGGGGTGTTGGGGAACAAAGGCTGAAGTCAGCTCCCCCAAGTCATTGCCCAAGATAACATCGGCCGGTAAATCTTGCATGAGGCCCACTTCCACGTCCCCTGACCCCGCTCCCCAATCCAAATGTACCCTGGCAGTGAGAATCTTGTATATTGCTCCCCATGCCACCCGTACTGCCACGTACTCCCCAGTGAGCTGGTTCTTTGGGACTAAGTGGTTACAAACCAAGTTATGGTGGCCCCTGAGTCACGCAGACCCTGGATGCGTTTTCCCTCTATATGTACCCCTTGTCGGTGTCATTGTCGGTTGTCGGAAGCTGCCTGTACTCAGGGGTTCCTCAGTGGATCCGGTCGAAAATGGTAGTTGTCGGGGCTCATTCTGGTAGCAGTGTACGGCCGCCCGGTTACCGGAGGGATTGGTCGGATTATTCCAGGTTGATCTGTTCTTGTTCCTGAGACAATCTCGCTGTATGTGGCCCTGTTGATTGCACGTGTGGCAACGGATAAAGGAACAGTTGTTGTACCTGGGTGGGGGTTGGTAGCTCCCCCCACCGGGACGAAGTGTCGGGGTTGTGGTAGTAGCTGGAGGTGGGGTTGCGACCCCTGTGGTGGGCCGTAACTGTGCTCTTCTGGCATCTTGATATTCGTCTGCCAATCTGGCTGCATTGGGTAAGGTGTGTGGTTTCTGATCTCTCAGCCAATTCTGTAAGTCCGGGGTTAACCCCTGGAAAAATTGTTCCAATAGAAGTAATTGCAGCATGTCCTCCACTGTAGTGGCTTGCGCCGCTTGGACCCATCCTTTGGCGGTCCTGGTTAAGCTGTGTGCCCACTCCATGTGGGAGTTTCGATCCGATTTTTGAATCTCCCTGAACCGCTGCCGGTATGCCTCCGGGGTTATGGCATACCTGGTTAGGATGGCCTGCTTCACTTTCTGATAGTCCCTGCTGTCCTCGTCTGGCATTGTGCGGTAGGCTTCAGCTGCCCGGCCCGCTAGCTTGCCCACCAGCAGGGGTACTTGGTCGGTTGCGCTGATGTCATGTAGTTGGCATAGTCTCTCGAAGTTGTGTAAGTATCCATCAATGTCCTCTGTTTCCACGTAATTTTTAAAAGCGTGGTAGGGGATTTTGGGCTTCCCTTGCACCATGCGGGGTGGGGTTGGAGACCCCTCTCTGGACCTCTGGTCTGCTTGCTGCTTGGCCATTAAATATTCATCTGCCATTATTCTTTCCACTGTTTCTGTGGGGGGTGTTGTGGGAAAAACACAAGCCGGCTTTTGAGTTCTTTTTCAAACTCTGTCTGAGTGGTTTCCATAGGAGGTGCTGCAGCAGCTGCTCTGTCTCCCTCCATGAGTTCAGCGAGAAGGATGGCTTTAGCTTTATTGCTGGCAATGATTCCCCTTGCTTCCAATAGCTCTTTTAGTGTAGCCCGTTTCAAACATGTATAATCCGTCCCCATTCACTGTCCGTTCGGGTATATTCACATACCCTCGACCTTCGGTTCCATTCGAATAGGGATTTCCACGAATTGCTGTTTCTTTTCTCTTGTTCTTGCTCAATCTGCCGAACAACGGTCTGCTGTGCGGTTTGAATCCCACTTCTGCCACCAAATGTAGCGGAGTAGAAGGGGTTAATCCAAGGATGCTCCGCTGGAAACAAAGATTCAGCATACAGAAGTATAAAACACAGCATAATCCCTCTCCCCAAGGACTAGACGACACATAGTCTGGGAGTCAACTGGCTTTTAATGCACAAGCTCTGCTTTTATGTGTTTTTCCCATGCAAGGGAGGCAACTTCCATAATTATTACAGTATCCAATCACATAGTCGGTACCTCCCCCACATCTCCTCCCCTTAGCTTAACAGTTAAACTTATTAAAATGTACATACTTTTCCCCAATTCTTGGATGTACCCCAAATACAGGGGGAACCTGGTAGCCCTGAGCTGGGTGAGAAACATACTCAAAAATCACCCAGATCGGACCAGGGGTTCGGGAGTTATGGTAGGGAAAAGATTTGACCAACCGCACGGGCACAGTAACCGAAAATAGTTCCATGAGTTTTGGCCCTGTGGTCGGTCTCAGTTCCCTGGTAAAAAGTCACGAAAGTCTTTGCCATCCATGCTTGACTTTGCATTCAAATGAATCCCCTCGTTCGCGGGATTAATCCTATCGAATGCTGGGCTGTTCGTGCATAAGATTCTTCCCTTTCCGGAGTGCTGGAGGTCTTAGCGGTGCTTGGTTAGTCAAGTGTCCGATTTGAATTCCAGACACTCGACGACCAAACACCGCTGTTCGTGAGTAAGATGGCCGCGAATGGCGGCCGCAAACAAACCTCAATTACCAGCCTTTGCAACATTGTTGCCTTCGGTAATGAGGGACACACGACTGCACCGGGGTGGTCTCTCATTCGGTATTTTACACACTTTCGTGGGTAATGCAATGGATGTATTTCGTGAAGCGATTGCCTGGGGATAACCAGTCTAATAGCAATACGGCCATTGTAATCCAAGTGTATTCGAATTTCGAAAGTCCTCTCTGTCGCTTGGTGGCTATGTTTGCCACATAGGTGATGACTGATCCCCCCTGGGATTACGTTCCCTGCAACCTGTGAGCTCTATCCCGGGTTACATTCCCCGCAGCCTGTGAGCTCTATCCCGGGTTACATACCCCGCAGCCTGTGGGTTACATTCCCTGTTAGTTCTTCCGGGTTACATTCCCTGCAGCCTGTGAGCTCTCTTCCAGGTTACATTCCCCGCAGCCTGTGCGCTCTATCCCGGGTTACATTCCCCGCAGCCTGTGCGCTCTATCCCGGGTTACATTCCCCGCAGCCTGTGAGCTCTATCCCGGGTTACATTCCCCGCATTCCCTGTGAGCTCTATCCCGGGTTGCATTCCCTGTGAGCTCTATCCCGGGTTGCATTCCCTGTGAGCTCTATCCCGGGTTGCATTCCCTGTGAGCTCTATCCCGGGTTGCATTCCCTGTGAGCTCTATCCTGGGTTGCATTCCCTGTGAGCTCTATCCCGGGTTGCATTCCCTGTGAGCTCTATCCTGGGTTGCATTCCCTGTCAGCTCTATCCCGGGTTGCATTCCCTGTCAGCTCTATCCCGGGTTACATTCCCTGCAGCCTGTGAGCTCTATCCCGGGTTACATACCCCGCAGCCTGTGGGTTACATTCCCTGTTAGTTCTTCCGGGTTACATTCCCTGCAGCCTGTGAGCTCTCTTCCGGGTTACATTCCCCGCAGCCTGTGCGCTCTATCCCGGGTTACATTCCCCGCAGCCTGTGCGCTCTATCCCGGGTTACATTCCCCGCAGCCTGTGCGCTCTATCCCGGGTTACATTCCCCACATTCCCTGTGAGCTCTATCCCGGGTTGAATTCCCTGTGAGCTCTATCCCGGGTTGCATTCCCTGTGAGCTCTATCCCGGGTTGCATTCCCTGTCAGCTCTATCCTGGGTTGCATTCCCTGTCAGCTCTATCCCGGGTTGCATTCCCTGTCAGCTCTATCCCGGGTTACATTCCCTGTCAGCTCTATCCCGGGTTACATTCCCTGCAGCCTGTGAGCTCTATCCCGGGTTGCATTCCCTGTGAGCTCTATCCCGGGTTGCATTCCCTGTGAGCTCTATCCCGGGTTGCATTCCCTGTCAGCTCTATCCCGGGTTGCATTCCCTGTCAGCTCTATCCCGGGTTGCATTCCCTGTCAGCTCTATCCCGGGTTACATTCCCTGTCAGCTCTATCCCGGGTTACATTCCCTGCAGCCTGTGAGCTCTATCCCGGGTTGCATTCCCTGTGAGCTCTATGTTTGCCACATAGGTGATGACTGATCCCCCCTGGGATTACGTTCCCTGCAACCTGTGAGCTCTATCCCGGGTTACATTCCCCGCAGCCTGTGAGCTCTATCCCGGGTTACATTCCCTGCAGCCTGTGAGCTCTATCCCGGGTTGCATTCCCTGTGAGCTCTATCCCGGGTTACATTCCCTGTGAGCACTATCCCGGGTTGCATTCCCTGTGAGCCCTATCCCGGGTTACATTCCTGTGAGCCCTATCCCGGGTTGCATTCCCTGTGAGCGCTATCCCGGGTTGCATTCCCTGTGAGCGCTCTCCCGGGTTACATTCCCTGTGAGCGCTCTCCCGGGTTACATTCCCTGTGAGCGCTCTCCCGGGTTACATTCCCTGTGAGCGCTCTCCCGGGTTACATTCCCTGTGAGCGCTCTCCCGGGTTACATTCCCTGTGAGCGCTCTCCGCCATGGTCTGCCCTATCCTCCTCCAGCTCCCTGGCTGCCATGGTCTGCCCCCCTCCTCCTCCAGCTCCCTGGCCGCCATGGTCTGCCCCCCTCCTCCTCCAGCTCCCTGGCTGCCATGGTGTGCCCCCCTCCTCCTCCAGCTCCCTGGCTGCCATGATCTGCCCCCCTCCTCCTCCAGCTCCCTGGCTGCCATGGTCTGCCCCCCTCCTCCTCCAGCTCCCTGGCTGCCATGGTCTGCCCCCCTCCTCCTACAGCTCCCTGCCTGCCATGGTCTGCCCCCCTCCTCCCCTGGCTGCCATGGTCTGCCCCCTCCAGCTCCCTGGCTGCCATGGTCTGCCCCCTACTCTTCCAGCTCCGTCCCTGCTTGCCATGGTCTGATCCAGCTCCCAAGCTGCCATGGTCGGTGATGTGTGGATAGTGGTATAACATTGTTGTTATGGTATTAACCTTGTTATGGGGGAGGGGATTATCCCGAGCTTGCTAAATGCTGTGTAACGTTAACAGAAACTGAGAAAGCATTGCTGCTTCAGCTCTTGTTGCGAAGCTGAGCATTGTGGGAAATGTAGCCCACATCAGTTCGAGTGCCAAGCCTTGTTAACATGTTATTTTAGTTTTATTTTCCCGGATATCTCCATGGCAGCAATACATTTGGGAATAACTCCTCCCACTCCTAAATTGGACAGGAACATCTGATTAAACAATAAAAAAATACTCCATCCCCTACATCCTCAGTCATTTTTCCTGTACACTTCACTGTCCATTCTGTTATACGCAAATACAAATATTACAAGTTTTAGAATGAAATGTTGTATTTCTTAAACTGTGTACTTTGTCTTTAAGAGATATTGCAAACTGACAAGGTGTTAGAAATGGAACATATTGTTTTTCATAGATGTTCCTTTAAGCAATAACCTCAGTGCATAATATGTTTGCGCCATTTTGTCCCAGATGAATTATAATAACAATAATGCATAAACAAGTTTCAAGGCTATGCTACGACTCTTTCAGTACATAATATACTGTGGTAACCTTAGTAGATAAGGATGTTCAGACTTTAAGATGCCATCTTGACCTAAGTCAGGAAAATTTCCATGACTTATAAACCCTTTAGTTATTAACTTGTATTTTTGCCAAGTTAAGGGAGGTCCTAAAATGAATAAAGTAAAAAAGTTACTTTTTCATGTATGAACTACGGTAACCCTAAAATTGTATATTTAAGGTATAAATAGGTGTACTTTTAAATGTTAAGGAACAGAAGAGAGACTTGGAGACAGACGCTGCTCCATATTAAAATGACAGAGAGGCTGACATGATGACATGTTCAGAAGGGTATGTTAACCTGTTAATGATATTTGCAAGCATTTAGTTTAATCTTATAAACTCTGCTATAATGGATTTTATATGTCTAGATTTATATTTTTATATAATAAATATCTAAAAGACAAAACTATTGCTTCCAAGACAATCCTTATTTTATATTGTATTCTCAATTAATTTATATGTTAAATAGAGGATCTCTTACTAACTATATAAAATTATGGCTAAGATATCTGTATGGTTAGCCCTGTTAAGTTCTATGCTTTAAGCTTTTATAGTGGTAAATAAGGAAACCAGCCGCGGTTACAGTTCTCACTCAAGGAAGTTTTTTAATTCCTAACTTACTGTATAAATAAACGTTCTGCAGACTTCTTAGGTGCCCTTCAGCTCCACAAAAAAGTAAACAATTGCTTTTTGTATGTACGTTTGTGTTTCTGCTGGAACACTTGTGTGTATTTCCATGCGGGATGTGCATATGATTTTCATATGTACCTTGTTTTCTGTCTGTAGATTGGTGTGAGAAGCATGTACATATATGTTTACAGAGTGTCATTGGAGATATAGATGCACATGTATTAAGGCCGTTTGGCCTGTAATTGTGGGAGGGGGTTAAATTAATTCACTCCCCTATATAAGGGACACCCCTTACCTGATTCCATATCGCTTGAGGTCAGCATCAGAATGATTTCCACTTTCGGGTCATCCAGACGCCATTTTACCTGATAACTCCATGAGGTTTTCTAAGCTGAGCTGTGTCAGGAATCCAGCCTACAGGCTTTTCCGGCCTACCACCTTCTTTCTTCAATCCATCGCCATGGATGGCGTCCAAGTGACTCACAAACCGTAAGTCTTGACCTATCCGTTATGCCAGGCATCAGTCCCACGGCACCATGCACG